AAAAAAGGCTCCGCCCCCGGCTCCGCCCATTTTTCCTCCCAGATGGTTCTTCCCACTTTTTGTTTTCCTCCCAGTTGGTGTGCTCTCCCCAACAATCGAAGCGGAATTCCGAAATTAATTTCTGCAAATTCTATGAAAAAAAAATGCGAAAAGAAACTCGACGAGAGAGAAAATTGCCAGAAAAAAGGCCAGAATACAAAACGAAACGATGACAAGCGGAGCGGAAAAAAATGGCGGTTGAAAATTAAAATTCAATTTTGAGCGCCAAATTTGGTAGATCGAGCCGGGTAGATCAAAAATTTTGAAAATCGAATTTTTGAATTTTCGAAATTTCGAATCGTCGGAAAATGGGGGGAATTGTTAGTCGTAGATCAAAAAAATTAAGTTCTGAATATTCAAGATAATAGAAACCCACCAAAGTCATCATCTTTGAGCTCAATTATCTCGCCTGCTGTGAAAGATATCACAAGTGTGTCAACTGATAAAATATGTGCGATAGTATGATATTAAATTTATCAGTTGACAGATTTTTGATATCTTCCACGGATACCGAGATAATTAAACTCAAAGTGCACGTAGGAGGTACGTCATGCGAAGGATGCAAAAGGGAACTTGGAAGAATACATAATTGCCAGAAAAAGGGACAGAAAAAAAATCATAAAAATGACTAGAAAACCAAACGAAATGACAAAAAGAGTAATGAAAATTTGGCGGTCAAAAATGTAAATTCAATTTTGACCGCCACTTTTGGTAGATCAAAAATTTTGAAAATGGTAGATCAAAAATTTTGAAAATGGTAGATCAAAAAATTAAAAAAAATAGTTAATCGGATTTCTGTAAAGCCAAAACTTCAAATCCGTCTGAAAAGGGAGAATTTGAAGAACGCAGGTCAAAAAACTGAAAATCGCGATTTTTGAGATTTTTCTACACCGAAGAAAACTTTTTTTTGCGGTTTCAGAAAAAAAATGGAAAAAATATAGCAAGATTTCAATTTTATCGACGTTATCACAAACATCCATAAATAATATTATGTTTTTCGTTGAAGAACGGAGAAAGAGGCGCGCGAAAGTGAAAGGCGCATAGACTTTCGGCGGCTTGTGGTCTCGCAACGATCACGACCGCCGGGCGTGAAAACGGAGTTTTCAAACCATTCTACGCAATTTTAACGAGGTCGTAGCCTGTTTTTCGTGTTTTTTGAGAGTTTTTTATTTTTTTTCTGTTTGTTTAATTGTGTCGAAAACGGTAATAGTGAGATAATAAGGTTCTTTATCCGTCAATTTTCACTAATATATTGTTTAGGCGAAATCCTGAAGAAAAATGGCTGATGCTATCGATAAAGCAGCGTTGAAGGAGTTTGGAGAAGAAATTCTTGGCAAGGTAGCGGAACTAATCAGTGTAGGAGTGGATAAGAGGAAGAAAGAGAAAGAAGTGGAAGAGGAGAAGCCGCCAAAAGTTTCATCAAAAGGGATCCAGAAGAACATCGATTTTCATTTCAAAATAAAGAATGTTTTGAGTAAAGCGATGGCAGCCGATGATCTGGAGAATGGAGTGAAAGAGGTTCTGGAGTTAATCAAGTCTCGAAACGGAGAATTGTTGTTGCTGGACTCGGATCCGAATTTGCTACAAACGAAACAGAAGTTGGACGCGTTGAAGGCGATTTCTGGAGGAGGTTCGGAAGGATCTTCGACTCAAGCCGATATGACGTCGATTCTGCTCCTGTCTAACCTTACTGGAATCGCTGGAAATAAAAGTGGAGGTTATCATGGAGACGTAAAAAGAAGAAGACAAGATCCATTGCCAAGCAGACAACAGTGGTTTCGATCAGAGAGTGTTTTCCGAGGCCAGGGAAATACTCGGCAAAATGGAGGTCAAGGTTATGGAGGCAGAGACGGCAAGAGAAGCATTCGCTGCTACAAATGCCAAGGATATGGGCACTATGCCAATGATTGTGAACAACGAAGGTAAGTGTTTTCCGGAGAGACTTTCCAAAGCCATTGAATTTTGGGAAAGCATTTGTAATGTAGAATGGGTGTTGAGTGTAATTGAGGATGGCTATAAAATCCAGCTGAATTCAGAGATAATTTTACCAGAACCACAAGGCCTCAGGCCGTCGGTAAAACGACATGAAGAGTTCTTGATTGCAGAAATTAAGCGGTTGGAGGAAGAAGGTGTCGTCGTCAGAGTTGAAGAAGAGCCGAGATATGTGTCCCCGCTCCACGTTGTGGAACAAGGTAAGAAAAAGAGGATGATTTTGGACTTGAGCGAGCTTAATGAGAGCCTGGTTCCTCCTCGATTTAAACTAGAGAATTTGAAGACAGCCTGGCCTTTTCTAAAAAATGCGAAATTTGCGGCCACTTTCGATTTCAAATCAGGCTATCATCATATAAAAATTCATCGCGATTCAAGAGATCTTCTCGGTTTTTCGCTGTCGAACCCTCCCGCCGCCCCATATTTTTTGTTTAAGGGTTTACCTTTTGGTTTGTCAATTGCCCCTTGGCTTTTCACAAAAATTTTTAAAGTCTTAGTTCAAAAATGGCGTGCGGAGGGTATAAAAATCTTTTTATATCTTGATGATGGATTAGTTGTGGGTGAGACGGAGAGAGAAGTCGCGAGAGCAGTGAGAAAGGTGAGAGAAGATCTGCATAATGCTGGTGTGTGTGTGTGGCAGAAGAAAAGTCGTTCTGGGTGCCAGACGCTAAGTTTACGTGGCTTGGTTATGAGTGCGACCTGGTCGCAAGAGAGGTTCGTGGAACCGAGAAGAGAATGGCCAAGTGGCAGGTTGCTTTTGAGGAGCTGAGGAGGAGCGCGGCTCCAACGGTCCTGGACCGAAGTTTTTGGGATGCCTGGCATCATTTGAGCTTGTTGCAGGAGACGTTGGTGTTGGCGGAGCACGGTCGATCATGCAGACGGTTGGAGAGAGTCAGAGGAAGAAGAGTGAGCCGGCAACAGTGAAGAAGAAGAAAACTCCAGGTGAGGAGAGAGAAATTGAGTTTTGGAGAGAGTGAGGCACAGAAGTATTGAAGAGAAGCATAGTGGAAATTGAGCCAGAATTTGATTTATTTTTGTACACTGATGCTTCGGCGCGAGGAATAGGAGCGGTGCTTAAGAATGAGAGAGATGATATTTGTGGAAAATGTCGGAATTAGGTGATAGCGACTTTGAAGGACAGTCTAGCGCTTGGAGAGAAGTGACGGCAGTGAAGAGAGTGGCAGAGGAGCTAGTTGGGAAGGTTAATGGAAATATACAAGTACTTGTGGACAGTCAGGCCGCTGTGAGTGTGTTGAGAAGAGGTTCTATGAAGCCAGAGTTGCATAAGTTAGCTGAAAAAGTGTGGGAAGACTTGAGTAGCGTAGGAGAAAGCCAATTTCTGTGGATTCCAAGAGAACAGAACGTGGACGCGGACGAAGCGAGCAGAAATTTTGATTTTGATGACTGGGGAGTGGCAGACAGAGTTTTCAGACAGGCGCAGAGATTGTGGGGAGAGATAAAAGTTGATTGGTTCGCTGATGCGAATAACAGAAAGACAAGGTATATTTTTCTAGATATCCCGAGTTCGGAACGTCCGGCGTCAACGTCTTCGACCACATCGAGAGGGCAGAGAGGATGGGATGTGCTTGGTGGGTGCCACCTCCAGTGCTGATACCGTACTTGTTGAAAATTGGTAGAAAAAGAAGGCTGAGGGGCGTTTTAGTAGCTCCATTGTGGCGGAGTCACGCGTCATATCAGGCCCTTGTTGATCATTCGGGAAGATTCATTAGAGCTATTAAAGATTACATTATTTATGAGAAGAATGACACAATTTATTCCGGGTGAAGGCTCCAAACATTGTGAAGCCACAAATTCTAAATACTGTAGATCTCAGTTCATTTTAGCGCTAGTTGACTTCTCTCGATAGGCCCCAGGCTTTGTACATTTTTCTACCTTATTATTACCACGTTAAACCTAAATTTAATAAAAAAAATGTGACATAAAATTCCTTTTTCGTAGTGATGAAACAGAAAAACATATTCTCTTGTAACGTAGAGGAAAGAGAATTTTGAATTTTGATCCAAAAATGCTCAAAATTCGGGAAAAAATAAATTAGTGATTTTTGGAGCGCTAATAGAGCAATTAACAGGTGGAATATTTGAATGATGCTGTTTAGAATGAAAAAAGTGATAACGAATAAAAATGCAAAAAGGAGACCTAAAATTAAGTTTTCAAAAAATAATAGAATCGTAAGAATTAATAAAATTAGAAGAATTAAAAATAATAGATACACAAGTTTAATCATATTGAAGAAATGATTGGTGATTGGGAAAATGATAGTCTGAAATTTAAGTTCTGTACCTTCAAAGTAAAAATCACTAACTTCCTTATCTCTAATTCTATTAACTTTATTGACATAAACATAAAATGGAAGAAGAATTGTGAAAATTAGTATAAATATGGCATAAATCGAAATACAACACAACCCAACACCAACCAGAGCAGTATTTAAAATTGCTTCATGTAAAGTTGTATTAGGCATTTGTTCATTAAAATTCAAAAATTAAAGATTGGTGAAAAATTTTAATCAGGTGACTTTTATTTTCCCTGGAAAGTCTGAAGAAGCACCTGCCGTTAGTTGTTTTTGCAAATGATCAGTCACTATTTGGAAAACTAAATTCATCTGCTCAATGGAATATCAAAAACACTTGAAAGTTCAACATTCTCACACCTACCACATGCTCCACAAAAAAGCAAAAAGATACTGATCTCGGGCGGGCTCGAACCACCGACCTTCTGTGTGTTAGACAGATGTGATAACCACTACACCACGAGACCACCGGAGGTGTAAGGGTGAGAGGGCGTATAGGAAGCCGAGAAAGACGGGAGAGCGGCGCCACCGGTCGGTCGCCACTTTATAAACGCCACTGATGACCTACACTTTCGGCCTGCTTAGTATAGTGGTTAGTACTCCACAGGTAGAGGGGGACTGCCGAAAAACGGGCCGTCTGGCGGGCGCGGACTGCCGAAAAGCGAACAGTCGGCAGTCGAATCGCGCGCCGCCGACGGTCCGTCTGCAACGATTTGCGCCTCGAAGACGGGCCGTCAAAAATGATAGCGCTTTCTTGACAGTTCATCATTAAACAGGTAATAAACAATAGAAATTCTTTATTAAACTAATAGTTTCTGTGGATTGTGTATTGTATTGAAAAAATAACTCTGATTTTTACAAAGTTGAATTTTTATGACTAGAATGGAGAAGAAACAAATTCTATAAGGAAAAGAACTTCGATTTTCTTTTTGTGTTTTCGCAAAATTCCAACTTTATAAAAATTCAAATTTTAAAATGCGAAGTGGCGCCACAGGGAGAGGGAGTGAGCGGCGCGACCGACATGGCGCCCCTTTATAAACGCCACTGGTGACCTACACTTCCGGCCTGCTTAGTATAGTGGTTAGTACTCCACGTTGTGGCCGTGGCGACGCTGGTTCGATTCCAGCAGCAGGCATTTCGTTTTGTTTTTTTGGCTTCATTTTTTAGGTCGGTGAAGATGGTTACGGAGATCCTGGACCACAAAAAATCTTAAATTATCAAAAATTCAAATTCCTTTCTTTCTCCTATACAAAAGTATCGTAAAGTCAACAATACATTCGAACAGTATATATCTTTTCTATTTATTTATACGGAAAAACAATTAAATTTCTTATTTACACAGCTTTTTCTTTTTTGTTCAATTGGACATATAGGAGACCATTGACTAATCCCATATTTTCTCCTTATTATTAGAACTGATCATTCTGAATTTTTATCCTAAAAATGGTCGCCAACTTTTCCGGGACCAAATACTTTGGTTGCTTTATTTTAGTTGTAATTCTAATTTTCTCTGTTGCAAATAACTATAATATGAAGTACAATTTTGAGGAAATTGGTGACTTCATTTCTTTTTTTCTAAATCAAAATTCAAAACTTTTCAGACCAAAAACTGCAAATCCTCGATTATCACAAAGCTTCAAACTATCCAATTCTGGATAAAGACTCAGCAATTCAAGAGCTTCGAAAAAATGCGCTACTCAGTGCCGACCAAACTCAAAGAGACATTTTAGCGAGTAGTATTGGAAATGATACACATAATTTTTATCGGAAATTGAAGTTGGAAGCGTTTTGTACGAAGAAAATGAAAATTGGGGAGCGGAAAGATGATGGAGGCAAAGTTGTGTGTAATCCAGAAGCGGTGAAGGAAGATTGCACGTGGGTTTTTTTTGGTTGATTAGAGGGTAATTAAGGTAATTAGCTTGTTAAAGTGATAATAAAAACATAACAAATTAGCTAAGCGGTCGGCTGGCGGCTCAACGGCGGACCAACGGCGTCTGAGCGTCTGAGCTACGCCGTTGCAATCAGCATGTCGGGTCCATGAAAAGGACGTTATTACACTGAATATATCAAGTACATAAGCCAATGTGTTTAATAAATGATGTTACTGAAACTGGAAAATTTTCAATAAAAAAATTTAATAATGGTTTTTCGAGTTTTTTCTTGTACTGTTTGTATATCCCAGTAACTTTTCATGAAATTACTATTTAAACTTCTTGCAGAAAATTTGAAATTGAAAAAAATTAGAATTAAAAAAATAAACTTTAAAAACAGAATTTCGACAAAATTATTTTCCCCCACCTGCAAGTAAAAATTTATTTATTTTTATTGAAAAACAGTTAGTTTTGACAATTTTAGTAATTAAAAATAAAACTTACTGATTGTAGAACTTGTGAAATTATTTTGAACTATGAATTATTTGATGTGACTGTCCAATAAAAAAAAAGAAATTAGGCTATAATTTTTTAGTCTATAAATTTTTTTGAAAATTCGGTTCGAACATTTTATAAACAATTTTAACGTTCAAAAATCCTGAAAGGCTTTAAAACATTTTTCCAGTTTCATCTTCTTTGAAAATGTCGAGATTCAAAACTGAAAGTGTTAATTATCTCGAGGTTATTTCTTCGTTGATTATTTGCTAAATTTTCAGAAACAAAAACTTTTGAGACAGTTAAATTAAATTCTTGTTCTCATCATTCTTATAATGAATAAATACAGTCGCGTCTTTTTATTTGCCAGTTTCCCAGTCCGCACATATTGAAAAGCTTGACAGTGAAACATAATCTCACTTGACCTTTTAAAAAAGAACGAGGAGCGAAGCGATGACCAGTGAAATAAATAGGTTAAATCGAGCCGAAAGCGCATCAGCCAGCTGTTTGAAGAGGCGCGGCAAGCAGGCTGGTAATTAAACAAAATCAAAAAATTCTGAAATTAAAAAAAAACATTTCTGATTCAAAACCTAAGTAAATATCCTTCAATTTTCTAATTTTTGTTCGGAAGGGGGAAAACCATGTTTAAAAAGATGTCATCCATAAAATAATTGAAGAAAATTGTTCATGCGAAATTTCTGAAAGTTTTCCCCGCTACAAAATTTGTAGAAAATCTTCTAAATTTTCAAAATTTTAATCTTGGTTTTTCGGGACATAGTTTTCATTTTTCCCCCAAAAAAATGTATTCAAAATTTGAGAATTTCCAACAATAAAAAACACTTTTAAGTTTCAAAAAACTTAATTCTTTTTATAAAAAAATCCTCCAAAATATTTTCAGATTAATGTCATTGGGACTAAATAACCAAGTACAGTTTGATCAGGAAATTTACAATGCGACAGGAAGAAAATGTGACTATTTGGCGGCAGATATGGTAGGTTTTCTGGGAATTTTCGAAAAAAAAAATCGGGACAATAATCTTGAATTCTAATAAGGCTTCTATTAAAGTATAACTTTCCAATTTAAATTTCCAAACATTTTGAAGTAGGAAAACCTTTCAAAATTTTAAGATTCCTGCCAAAATAAAAATCAAATCAAAATTAATTTTCAGGACCCTCAAAACATGAACACCTACCGCATATTCGCCGGAATGCAGGCACGTGTTCATACTGGAAAAATTCCGGATAATCTGACGATTGCTCATATTATGGAAGTGGAATTCAAAAAAGAGTTGGAAATTCTAAAAATCGATATCGAAGATGGAGAGCATACGGGTTTGGAGCCGTTTTTGAAGGAGTACTATGTTTGTCAGGTGAGCAAAGGGCTACTGTAGCTTTGTTGGTTTACTTGTCTTAGAGGGTTACTGTAGATTTTGAATTCATGATATTTTTACGCATTACTGTACTTTTTTCCAGATCCTCATTGAAATCCATGGTTTGCCAGCTGATCACCTCAACATGCTCCAAAAAATTGCTCGATTTGGATTTCGAATTTTCAACATTGAGCCCAACAAAATGTGCTCCAGATGTTGTGAATACAGTATGATCAATGAATTGTGTATGCCACAATTTGAAACGGTCCCGTTGGCTATTATGATTCCCAGAAATCTTACTGTAGTTTAATTTATTAATTTATTATTTTTTAAAATTTTAATTGTTATTATTTTTGGATATATGGTACCTATGATAAAAGAAACGGCTTTTTTTACCCTATTTTCTCGTTTAATGTGAGAGATATCTTAAAATTGTCAACTTACAAAATGTTAATGATAAAGTTTAACACAATTTATCAGTGGACAACATTTTGATATCTGTTACAGTAACCGAGATAAATTGGGTCGAACAAGGAATTCTATTTTTAGCAATGAAGCGCGTTAGCAGCTCTCGATGCATAATTTGAAAATCGGTAAATTTTGATTCGGTTTTTTAAAATGAAATTTTTTTAATTTTGTCTTTTTTCGATCATGTATAAACTTATAAAAATAAAATTAGCATTCTAAAAAGTTCGAAACATTAGATTCTTTTCACTAAATTTATCGACCCAGCGCCCTGGAGGACCCAGGTAAATTGCTCAGCTTCTCGAATTTTCTCTAATTTTTGATTTTTTGAAATTTCGAACTCATCTAGATTTTCCTGAAACTATTCTTTGGCCAATTAAAAAGAAATCGAAGCCAACATTTTAGGGTTTTAAAAAACTTTCTGAAACCTCAAAATTTAAATTTCAATAGATTTGACCCCTTCTGGAAAAAATCGATTTTCCAAAAAATTATGTTTCAATATTCTCATAGCATCTGAATGACCATGTTTTAGTATTATGTTATACCAGCCTGCTGGCTGCTGCGCCTTCGGCGCAATTCAATATTTTTACTGGTTTGTCGCTCCACCCCTCACTTTTCGCTTTCTCTTTCTCAAAGGGTAGAACATGTACGCCCTCCCTTCTCTCTCCCGGTGTGGCCTTCATGGCACAACTGGGTGCATGCGCAGCCGTTGTCCGAAGGGCCGCGGGTTCAGTTTTGGCGGCGGCCTAATTCTTATTTGAAACCCAAAACCGGACAGCCGGACACTAGGACCAACAGACACGTCTAGCGTTTTATATATAAGGAAGAATCATAAAAATTGGAACATACAAAAAATCTATTTTTGATTTGTGCCTGATAGATCATGAAACATCAAAAATCCCCCTAATTTTGGTTTTATTCATCCTTAAAAATGTTTTTTTAAGTTGAATTTTTGGATCTTTGGAAACATTCTGAAAGTTCGAAAATAGTCCAAAAACCTTGTGATCCATAAGGTTCATCAAAGCTAGCTTATGTGTCATAAGCTAGCTATTCACTTTTTGAATCGAAAAAGAAACATCAAAACTTCTAAGCTGAGCAATCAAGGAGCAATCAAAGGACCTATTCAGAAGAATAAGATGAATAGGGGCTCTAATTACTGGGAGGTATAAAACAGAAATTGTTTTAATCCTCATGGACTACTGTGCTTTCTCAGAACCATGATTTTTGGTCCCTATCAGGCTATCCATACGTTTCTCTCCGTTTTCGGAGTAGGAATCAACATTTTCCTGCTATTTTTGGCGGTTACAAAATCGCCAAAAATTATGAGACCTTGCTCAGCGTTAATTACAAATAAATCACTGACGGATATCATGAGCTCATTGGCCAATTTGTTTGTCATGCAGAGGTAAGAGGTGAAATAAAAAAAATTTGGAAAATTTAAAAAGCTTAACAAGAATACAGAGATTGGAAACAGGGATTTTTTTGTGATTTTTGGGTTATAACAAAATCTTAGAATCTGATTTTGATGGGTCCTAATTTTTGAGGAATTTAGAATTAATACAAACGAAGGATCTATTAGCGGAACTAAAATAATTCCTGAAAATATTGAAAGCTTGAAACAGCGAATTTCAAAAATTCTAGCTCAGCTTTTCTTAGCCCAAGACCCAGCTATTTTGGGGGAAATTCAAATTCTCAGCCGGCAAGATTAGCAAATTTTTCGAATAGGAAAACTAAAGAAATTTATCAGAAAAAAGAAAGAAATCTCTATTATCAAAATTAAAGAAATCACTGAATATCTCGAAAACCCGAAACGGCAAGATTTGTTATCAGATTTAGAAGATTCTAGGATGAAACAATCTAACGAAAAAGCAAAGATCGTGAAATATCACAACTATAAATTGCTATAAAATTTTTTTCGAAGTTTCATTATTTTTTGACGAGGGAACTGATGAGCAGATTTTCTGAATATGAAAAAAACTGATAAAATGAATCTGAAACTGGAAAAAGTTTTTCAAAGTTTTTGCTGTTTCAGTACTGTACTTTTCTCGTTAAATAGAGTGTTTGTAGGTCCCATTACAGCTCTCTTGATTTCTATAATTGATTTTCTAAAAATTTGGTGTTTTGCGAGAGTATGCATTTTTGCGGCAATCAGCGTTTGCGACCACGTAGCTCAGCTGGCAGTGGCGCGGCACCTACTGTTTACACGAAAAGTTCGAGCCCTTTAATGAATCGAATTCAAAAGAAAACGCTTTTGAACAAAATATTGTTGTTTGCCAATTGCCAACTTGCCAATTATCTCCATTTCATTGTTTTACAGTTCGAGATGACAATAGTTCAGAAATTAGCAATGAAATGAGATGCTAGTGCCACTTCAAAACCGTTTATCTCGTTTTCTTCAAATTCTACAAAACAGTTGTCCACTGCAAAGTTTAAGATATATCTGTTTTTGTTTGGTGTACTCTGAAATTTCCAGGCGAATTGAAACATTCTGCAGTAGGAATACAGTAATTATAGAAATTTGAGAAATACATTTTTGTAGTTTTTGTGATTCTAAAAAATCTGGAAATCTGATTTTTGTTGCAGAATATGACAAATGACGATACTGAAAAACTATACAGAAAAATTAACGATACAGAAAAATACGAAAAATCTGGAAAACTTGAAACATGAAATTTTTTTTTGTGAAAATACAACGAAACGAGATAAGCGGTTTTGGTGGTACAGATAGTTGTACAAATCTTATTTTAGTGCTAATTTTTGGCATTTTTTGAAACAACTTATCTCATCTGTATGGATTCAAACAATAAAGTTGTAGAGTTTCAAAGTTAGAGACATAACCATGAAAATCCCAAAAATTGAAAAATCCCTCTTTCCAAAACTTGCCTAATCAAGAAACTAGTTATCTTATTAATACCGCTCTCCGTATAATAGCTAAACTACAGTAATCCTCCTCCTTCAGAATTCTCACGGACGGCTCCTCAATCTCCATCATCCCCACTGGACCATGCACCTTGATTGGTCCAACCGCCTGTTATGCCGGTCACATGTTCATGGGCTCTTTTTTGGAGCACAATTTAATTTGGCTCATTGCCTGTTACCTATTCCGTTACTACATTCTTTATGTCCGTGATCCATCCATCAAAAGTATCATTTTTGCGGCTTTCCTAGTTTATACTCCGAGTTTCATACATATGGCCGTTTGGATCAAAGTTTTTGATATGGAGCAAAAGGATTTTCCGAATTTGTCGAATTCCAATTCTTCTGATATGGTCCTGACTGGAAATACAGTATACTGGAGCTCAATTGTGGTCTATGTGCAGTTGGTGATCACAGCTGTGCTTGTGGTTATAGCTTACACTTGGATTCGAAACGTGCTCATTAATTTTATTTTGAGCATGGGAGCAACTTTGTCAAAGGATGTTAAGATTATTAATAAGCAGTTGGTTAAGGTGGGTTTTTTGTAACAAGGCGTTTTAGAACCGGACGTTTGGCAACCAGATGTTATAGAACTGGTTATTCCGCAACTGGGCTTTAGAACCGGTTTTGCTGCTAGTATTGGTCATTTCGCCATAGGACGTTTTTAAAATGAAACAGAACATTTTTGAACTGGACGTTTAACAACCTTCTAGAAACGTGTATCTTGCAACTGACCATTTAGCAACACGACGTTCTAGAACTGGTCATTGTGTAACTAAGACGTTTTAGAACTAGTTATTTTGAAACTGCGGGTGCTAGGGTTGGTCATTTCGCAACGAGACGTTTTAGAACCGCGTATTTCGTAATCAAGATAATATAAAACTGGTAATTTGGCAACTATGAAATTTCTCAACTAGGCAATTTCGCAACTATGACATTTCGCAACTATGGCATTTCGCAACTATGACATTTCGCAACTATAACATTTCGCAACTGAAGGTTCTAAATTGGCCATTTCGCAACTATGTCATTCCGCAACTATAACATTTCGCAACTATGACACTTGGCAACTGTGACATTTCGCAACTATGACATTTCGTAACTTTGAAATTTCGCAACTCCAAAATTTCGAAACTATGACATTTGGCAACTATGACATTTTGCAACTGTGACATTTGGCAACTATGACATTTTGCAACTGTGACATTCGGCAACTATATTATTTCGCAGCTATGGCATTTCGCAACAATGAAATTTCGCAACTTTGAAATTTCGCAACTATGCCATTCCGCAACTATTATATTTCGCAGCTATGACATTTCGCAACTATGACACTTCGCAACTATGACACTTCGCAACTGTGAAATTTCGCAACTTTGACATTTCGCAACTATGGCATTTCGCAACTAGGGCATTTCGTAACTATTACATTTCGCAACTGAAGGTTCTAAATTGGCCATTTCGCAACTATGTCATTTCGCAACTATATTATTTCGCAGCTACGGCATTTCGCAACTATAACACTTCGCAACTATGACACTTGGCAACTGTGACATTTCGCAACTATAACATTTCGTAACTTTGAAATTTCGCAACTACGAAATTTCGAAACTATGACATTTTGCAACTGTGACATTTGGAAACTATGACATTTTGCAACTGTGACATTCGGCAACTATATTATTTCGCAGCTATGGCATTTCGCAACAATGAAATTTCGCAACTTTGAAATTTCGCAACTATGCCATTCCGCAACTATTATATTCGCAGCTATGACATTTCGCAACTATGACACTTCGCAACTATGACACTTCGCAACTGTGAAATTTCGCAACTTTGACATTTCGCAACTATGGCATTTCGCAACTAGGGCATTTCGTAACTATTACATTTCGCAACTGAAGGTTCTAAATTGGCCATTTCGCAACTATGTCATTTCGCAACTATATTATTTCGCAGCTACGGCATTTCGCAACTATAACACTTCGCAACTATGACACTTGGCAACTGTGACATTTCGCAACTATAACATTTCGTAACTTTGAAATTTCGAAACTATGACATTTTGCAACTGTGACATTTGGAAACTATGACATTTTGCAACTGTGACATTCGGCAACTATATTATTTCGCAGCTACGGCATTTCGCAACTATAACACTTCGCAACTATGACACTTGGCAACTGTGACATTTCGCAACTATAACATTTCGCAACTACGAAATTTCGAAACTATGACATTTTGCAACTGTGACATTTGGAAACTATGACATTTTGCAACTGTGACATTCGGCAACTATATTATTTCGCAGCTATGACATTTCGCTACAATGAATTTTCGCAACTTTGAAATTTCGCAACTATGCCATTCCGCAACTATTATATTTCGCAGCTATGACATTTCGCAACTGTGACACTTCGCAACTATGACACTTCGCAACTGTGAAATTTCGCAACTTTGACATTTCGCAACTATGGCATTTCGCAACTAGGGCATTTCGTAACTATTACATTTCGCAACTGAAGGTTCTAAATTGGCCATTTCGCAACTATGTCCTTTCGCAACTATATTATTTCGCAGCTACGGCATTTCGCAACTATAACACTTCGCAACTATGACACTTCGCAACTATGACACTTCGCAACTGTGAAATTTCGCAACTGTGAAATTTCGCAACTACGACATTTCGAAACTATGACATTTTGCAACTATGACATTCGTGCGACAATGACATTTCGTATTTTTTCAGATCCTAACATTCCAAGTGTGCATTCCCATCTGGATTTTCCTTGGCGTCTTCTTCTTCCTCGCCATGTACACTCAAATTGCTCATCCCGAAATTCTACAGTACTCCATTACGATTTCCTTCATGCTAGCCCCTGTAATCTCTCCGTTCGCCTATATTTTCTTCGTCCCACATTATTGGAACTTCTGTATTGGGAAGAAGTATGTGACACCGATGACGACGTCGATTTGTGCAAGTTCTACGTCCACTTGCGGAAGTTCGGAGAAGAAAGAAGGAGTGGAAAATTGATATAATTAAAAACCTTTAATCAGTAAAATTGTTTGATTTCATGTTTGGAAAAGCGACAAAAAATATTATAAAATGATTTTAAAACAGAACAGACCGACTTGGTTTTTTGGGAACTTCACATAATTCCAATCGACTATAACTTTAAGCCTATCTCGGTTCTTGTGAGAGATATTAAAACATGGTCAACTGCTAAAATGTTTATCATATCAGCAGTAACATTTTATCAGTGAACCACTTTTTGATATCTTTCACGGGAACCAAGATAAATGGGCTCAAAGAGCACATATAGGGTGGTCATCTATTAGAGTGTGTACAGTCTTTGCTTCGATAGGAGATTATTTTGGAGGCTTTAATTTAATTTAATTTGTTTATTGATAAGGTGTAATAAAACATTAGAGGGCAGGACATGAAAGACTCAGAAAAAATGCCCCTCACGAGGCCAAAATGCCCCTCACGAGAAAAAATGCCCCTCACGCCTGACTAGGAAGCCATCTGAGCATGTCCCCGAGTTACACTTCATGAGCAATATCTTTAGAAAGCCCTAGACAGGACATGAAAAAAAAAGATGTTCACGAAATTCTGTTTATAAGTCCCCTCGAGGAGTTGAACTTGTGAGCGCGAAGATTGAGAGTGTGGCGCCGCTACCGACTGAGCCAGGCGGGCGAAGAGAAAGCGGGCGCCCGATGGTAAACATAAGGGTGAGGACGACAGCTGCACGCAGAGTGGCATTAAGCTTTGTACACCGTTTCGGTAGAATGCATACCCTAACTCCAAAAAAACTTCAAAAAATCTCCTGTTCCCTTACATTTAAAGAGCCAAACACTGCTTGAAATCAACTGAAAATTATCTTTTGACCCAGTTTTCTCAAAGATCACTTGTCATGAAAAGCCAAAACTCCATTATTGAAATAAGTTGGTTTATTCAAAAGACTCTCCAAAAGTTTTTACAGAAATACTCGTTGTACTGACTCGTACATCATCAATGAAGCCGTTACCAACAACTATCGATTTAAAGGAAAACTGGGACCAGTAAATGGATTGTACATTATTCATACCGGATATTGGGTCACTTGTGACAATTTGACGAATTTCGATGCTATTACTATCTACATTGGCAATTCCAGACTGACCGTTTCCGATTTGTAGCAATTTTTGAGACACTGGCGTGCCGGTGGGTCACAACGATTGCAATATTTAGAAGTTCATTTTGAAAATGAGACAGTTTTCGACAACTTCTTTGATGAAGATTTGGAAATTGTGAGAACAAATGAAGTGGGAAGATATCCATTGAGGTTTGTACTTTTCTTCGTTCCTTGACTACTGCAATTTTAGATTACTGCAGTTCTGTTCTTTTTAGAGACGGAGGATGATTCGTGATTGCTACAGTATCCAGCGTATGGACGGTGTTAAGGCATTGATTAACTGTGATAATCACCGATCTTTTTATATGATTGTTCAACAGGGAAGAGCAACGAGTAGGAAGGAATAATTATTTGAGAAATTCTTGAAGATGTCTTCATATCGATATTTCATGTCCCCTCCCCTTTAATTGACCCTCCTTTTACGTAACTTTTAACCCCTCCTCAGTGTCCTAACCCATTTTAACAGTAAGATTTAAAAAAAAATGCTGTTTTGAACATTCCATATTTATCAGTGCTTATTGTTACTTTCTGATTAATGCATAGTTAGTATACATTTTTTCTCGAGAATAAATTTTCCTTTTACAAAGCTCTAATTTTCATTTTTCGGTAGATAAAAATATTTTAAAGACATTTTTTTGATCTACGAGGACAACCATTTTTACCGCCAAATTTTTTTTTGAAATCGTGTTGACACCCATTTTGATCTACCCGTTGAGCGCTGAAATTATCGCATTTTTCGATTCTATTTTTTTCTTTGGAATATTTTTATTTTCCCTTGTTTTTAGGATATTTTCTGCTTCAAACTAATTCAATCCGATTGTTTTCCAGAATTGGACCCAATGGATGAGAAAAATCGTTTGATAAAAACCGGAAAACTCCATAAAATAGTTCAAAGACTTCAAAATACACAAGATCCGACAAATTTGGTAAGCAGTTGAATATTTTGTTTAAAAATTGATTCCGAATTTTCTAGAACAATCCAGTGCCACTGAATGTTCCAGAACAAGAAGAGCTGAAAGTATCAAAAGAGGAAGAACAAGAACAAGAAAATAACCAGAATCTTGAGAATCCGAATTCTAGAAAACGAAGAGGTAGGAGCTCTTAACTTTAAGCCAATTTATCACAGCAACTGTGAAAGATAACAGAAAGAGATCAACCGATGAGTTTATCAAAACATCACCAATATTTTGTCAGTTGACCGTTTCTTGATATCTTTGACAGGAACCAAGATAAATTGGGTCAAAGATAGTAGTAAGGCTTCCATTCGGTCGGAAAGTTTAGCCGACCGACCGACAACCGACCCTGCCAACCGACAGCCGACCAAGCTGACAGATCGGTCGGCGATTTTTGTTAAAACGGTTCTACTAGTTTACTGAAACTACTGAAGAATTTTTGAAACAGCGAAAAATATGATTTCCAGCTGAAAACCAAGAAGACCCAAGTACTCCATCAACCTCAGCTGCTGGACCATCCGGAACATCTCCTCCTGCTGGTCCCAAAGATTTCAAAACACTAATAACAAAACTGGAAAACAAAATCCACGTACCAGATGAATTAAACATTGCCGAACTAGTCACAAACTACAAATCATGGGCGAAACGAAATAATTTACTAGACTTGGTGCATTTTGCATCCAAAGTTTTTGGATTCAGACTTCGTCCAACTTATGAGGACAAGTTGGAACAGAACTTGAAACAGCAGCGGCCAATTTCTAGATTCGACAAACAAATTTACTTGAGGATTTACAATTTTCTTAATGACCCGGAACTTTGTGATAAGGATCGATTAAGACTGAATGAGTTTAGTAATAAGGAAATCCGAAAGTTTCGAGCTGAAGCGATCAATATACAAAATATCGCTTTCAACAAATTCAAAGCACGCCAAGAGGAAATTAACGGAATAACATTGGAAGAAGTCAAAAGAAGATTAAGAAAAGAGGTCAATTTGGAAGGAATCGACTGTTTAGGATTTGTGCAAGAAGCCAAAGTTTCGACCGTTGGACGTTGTACTGCGAGCGAATTTGCGAATGCGATATGTGGAGTGGTTAAACATTTTGAATGGCATGTTCTCGAGAAGAAAATAAGGGATTCGAAGCCACTATCGGACCACAGGAAATTTGTGATTTCTAGAATGCATAATTGGATGAATGAGTTTACGGATGACGAGAAAGACAAATTTTGAGTCGACATTTCGCGGATTTGCAGAATGAATGGGTTTAGAAGATGGATTTAAGAATCCCCAAAAATAATTTTTTTTGAAAAATTTAATTTTTTTTCTAACTTTGACCTAGTATATCTCGGTTACTGTAATAGATATCAAAAAGTGGTAAAATAATAAAATGTTAATGATAATGTGATAAACATTATATCAATTAACAACTTGTTGATATCTTTCACAGAAGCTGAGATAATTAATGCCGGAAAAACCCATATCCCCAATTTGATGCCATGGTTCGTGGCGTCTAACTTTGACCTGATTTATCTCAGTTCCTGTAACAAATATCAAAAAATTGTAAACTATTAAAATGTTAATGATAATGTGATAAACATTTTATCAGTTGGCAATGTTTTGATATCCTTCACAGAAAAAGAGATAAATCGGATCAAAGTTACGGAGTCCCTTCTATGCTTTATTAACAAATTTCACTTTACTGGATTTTTAGTTTTTTTTGTAACTTGAGCAAATTTTTGAGCTAATTAGTGATTTCTATTTTGTAATAATTTTCAATTTATCTGTACTATCTGAATATTCAATTATTTGATTATCTCTTAATTTCAGTTCCATTCAATTTAGCCAATCGATTCATTTAATTGACATACATATTTTTTCTGTATCAATGAATAGTTAATTTCTACTTTCCTTTTTCATTCAATTGACGATTTTTGAATATCTTCGAGATTTATTATTTTAATTTTTTATATTTTTTTTAATTTGACAGTCCCTAATAGAAGATTTTGAATTATTGAATTGCGCAAAAATTGTTTGTTTTACTGTTTCAATTGGTTTGCATTTTTTTTATATTCTAGATTTTTGGTGCATTCTCTTTTTCAGGAAAATACGAAATATTTTGACCATCTCCACACTTCTGATAGTTCTGGAAAAGTCGATATTATCGATTTATCAATATTTAGAATTTTCAAAAATCCGTGTTTCGAATTTCCCATATTTATCACTGATTATATACAACTTTTATAATCAGATAGTAACCAATTTAAAAGCAAACTAAATGTTCTTATCCGTGGAAGTCTGAAAATCACAAAATTCGAGCATTTAGTTTTTTTAGTAGATCAAAATATTTGAAATGCAATTTTTGATCTACCAGAACAACCGGTCAAAAGAGCCAACAGATTTCTTTTGGCAAATCAAATCATCCTCATTTCTCTGAATTTTAGTCTTTTTTTTTGAATTTCAGAAAAGTTATTTTCTCTAATCCCTCTTCTATAATCTATTGATAAAAGTACACACCCAACACCAATTTCACCATCACCGTGTCATCTATTTGCTTTTTCTCTAACCACTCTCCTCTTTTTCTATACTCTCTCGCTCTTTCTCTTTTTCTATCTCATTAGCTTTATGTGTTCCAATGCATAGGGTGTGTTCAAATACTTTTTCGTCATTTCACTAACTTCGTTTTTTTTGAAGCGAAGTTTGAAATTTGAATGTTCTCTTCCTGTTTCAAAATCTTCCTTAAAAGTTCTCTATAGAAAGTGGATCATTAACGATTTCAAACTTCGATTTTCAAATTTCTACAGTAATCCAAAATTTTGCAGATCCAGATGAGCCCAAGAACGTCGGTTCAACATCGCCGATCAGCGAAAAATCACCAAGGAAATTGCATTCATGATATAGGTAAGACATTTTTTCACAGTTTCAAAGTTTCCATTTTTTTCGAATTCGGAAAACGGAAAGTTGCTAATACCTTTTCATTGGTGTGCTCTATGAATAGAAAATTTTTTACAAAATTCTCAATTTAACTTATTTCGAACTTTAAAGGTGGGGAGACATGGAAAAAATGATGTTCTCTAATTCCTCTTAAATATGCCCCTCGAGGAGTTGAACTTGTGGAGGTGAGGATTGATGGTGCGGCGACGCTACCGGCTGAGCCACACGGGCAAAGAGGGCGCAGGCGCCCGATGGTGAACATAAGGGTGAGGACGACTGCTGTACGCAGAGTGACATTAAGCTTTGTACACCGTTACGGTAGAATGCATACCCTATCCCCGAAAATTCCCACTTTTGCAGTCATTTTTTCCCAAAAATTTCTGTTTCGGTTTCTTCATTTCAATAGTTGATGAATAACTGATATGTTAATTGATTACCTTTTCGTTTTCATAATTTTCGAAGTTGGAAATATTCTAAAAATTGATTTCAGGATATCAAAAATTCCAAAAATAAAATCATAAAGTTTTGGCTCTTTATGATTTAACGGGGGTTTAAACAATTAACGGGGGTTTAAAGGTGGGGGGACAGGAGATTTTTCGTAGTTTTTTTGTAGCTAGAGTATGCATTCCACCGTCACGGTGTACAACGCTAAATGTCACTCTGCGTACAGCTGTCGTCCGCCTTTATGTATACAAACGGGCGTGCGCTTTCTCTTTGCCCGCGTGGCTCAGTCGGTAGCGGCGCCGCACCCTCAATCATCGCCCTCACAAGTTCAACTCCTCGAGGGGCATCTTTGAACGGAATTTCGAGAACATTATTTTTTTCATGTCCTCCCACCTTTAAAATGTTAACGGGGGTTTAAATTTTTGACGGGGGTTTAAAAAATTAACGGGGGTTTTGAATATTTGAAGGGGTTTTGGGAATTAACGGGGGTTTTCAGAAGGTGTCAGAGTCATGGTTGGGAAAGTCCCCAAAATGTTCCAAAGTGCTACAGTTTCTTGTTTTTTGCTCATTTCAGTTGATTTATTCTTTTCTGAAATCATTTTTTTTTCTTTTTTCGTTTCTAAAGTTTTATGGCCCTGTTCTAGAATTGCGGAACGAATGAAAATCACATAAAAAAATGGGTAGGAAAATTTTGACACTAGGAAACCTTCGTAGATTATAGGCTTAGGCTGAAACGCCATATTTCCTTTATCTAAGTCATCGGAAAATTGGCGGCAAGTTACATAACTCTGCTAGTTCTAACCTCGAATCCAAAATACAAATGTACCGCTTTCCCGGATCACTTGACTCGCCAACACCATTCAACCTCTCTAATTGTAAGAGCAATTGTTGATCGCTCTTCCCTTTCTAAGCCTCCTGTACCTGCTTCCAAGGTTAAATGATAGATAAAGTTTTTTTTCGTTCCGTAATTCTAGAACAGTGCCATGAAACTTTAGAAATGAAGAAAGAAAAAAACAAGAAATGATTTCAGAAAAGAATAAATCAACTGAAATGAGCAAAAAACAAGAAACTGTAGCACTTTGGAACATTTTGGACTTAGCCAAACATCGTCCTGACACTTTTTGAAAACCTAATATTTAAACCCCCGTTAATTCTCAAAACCCCTTTAAATTTTCAAAACCCCCGTCAATTTTTCAATTTTTTTTAAAAACCCCCGTCAAAAATTTAAACCCCCGTTAATATTTTAAACCCCCGTTAATAGTTAAACCCCCGTTAAATCATAAAGAGCCAAAGTTTTGAATTAAGCTGTGTACACCGTTACGGTAGAATGCATACCCTAGCTCCAAAAAAACTCCGAAAAATCTCCTGTCTCCCCACTTTTATGAAAATGTGAGGAGCGGAGCGACAAACCAGTAACAAACTAGATTAAAACGCGCCGAAGGCGCACCAGCTTTATGTTCACTAGATAAGATAATGAACAAACTTTTAACATCAAAATCAATCCGGAAAATGAAACAAAAATTGAAATATCAAAACGTTTTCAGACCAACAAAGTGACCCACTTCAATCTCAAGACAGCAACTACTCTCGTGCTCTCCGTAAACGATCGCCAAAAGCCGAAAAAACAGGCAAAAAGAAAAAAGAGACGACATCTGAGCAATTGTTCCGTCTCTATGTCGACAAGAATGGTGTAATGCAAAATGGACGAGTGTTGAGACAAGTGATGATAAGCACCAGTACCCAAAACTATCAGATTTTTGTCCCTGACCAACCTCCGAAAAAATGCACATCCGTAACTAGAAACAGTACTGACGTGAAAAAGGAAGGCAAGCCTATTTGGGCGCCGTCAGCGGAGATGCGGAATTCGGAAAAGGACGATGTTCGAAATGTGTACTTGAAAACTTTGTGGAGACAGTATCGGGGTCATGTGAAGATTGACGACGCATTCAGACACTTGATGGATAACGAATATGATCTTGTGAAGACGTTCCGAAATATTGATCAACTTTTGAGAACGCTTCCAGAACCTTCCGAAGGTATTACCGGTGTCCAAGTCGACTATTTTCGACCGCTGATGAAGGATCAGAAGGCGTTGGGTGATGTGAAGGCGAAGAAGAATGTTAGTTTGGGGTTTTCCAGTTCTTAATTTTAGAATTTTAGAAAACTTGAATAGTTATATTTTTCCCATTTTATAAAACTCAAAAATGTTGATTCTGAACCGAGATATGATCATTTGTAACCAGCTAGAAAATTGAGAAAGTTAGGCCATTTAGCAAAAATAGTTGTAACTTGGTTCAAAAATAAGCGTTTTCCGATTTAAAACAAGTTATAGCTTTATAAAAAATTCACAAAACTGGAGAAAATTTATCACAATTTAGTTTTCTTTGAAATTGGATTCCTAGGTCATCTAAAAATGAAAAAAAAAAACCGTTTTTTTTTGAGATTATTTCTGGTAAGTTTGAATCGATTTTGATAATTATCACTTTGTTCGCTCGTGTTCATTTTTTGAACTTCAAAAAACTCAATTTTGAGTCAAGCTACGGCAATTTGAATTTGGTAACCTAGAAATTTTGAAAAGTTAGGTCATCAAGTTCAAATCGTTGTGACTTGGCTCAAAATGAAGCTTTTTGAAATTCAAAAATTATTTTAGAATCAAAAGATTATACACAATTTGAAGAAACAAAACATGACCTATTATTGTAATCACTGACCTAGAAATTTGAAAAAGTTAGGACACCCAGTTTTTTGTCCATTCGGGCTTCTAGGCCATTCAAAAAGCGAAATAAATTTTACGGTTTTTCGGACTGTATTTTCAGTTGTCAAATTCAACTTCAATAGTTTCGCTTTTAATTTTCCTTTCTTAGTTTTCAAACTTTAAAAAGTTCAATTCCGAGTCTAGCTACAACAATTTGAATCGATAATTTGATAGTGGTGGCCTAGAAATCCAAAAAAAAAACAAAAACTCATGTCTTGTTGCACATTTCCTGGTTGCATTTGTTTAGATAATGATATTTCAGTTCTCAGATTTCAAAAATCTCAAATTTAAGTAGTATTATGAACGTTTGTGTACAGTGGCCTAAAAACTTTTAAAAGTTAGGTCATCAACTTCAAATCCTTGTAACTTGGTTCAGAATTGAGCTTTTTGCAGTTAGAAAAGTGGACTAGGATTATCTGAATATACAAAATTTTTGAATAATTTATCATGGCCTAATTTTATAAGATTTGGCTTTCTAGGTCACCGGAACAAAATCGTTGGTAAATTTGCATTTCTAGGCCATTTGAAAAAGAAAATAAGTTTTACGGTTTTTCGAACTGTATTTCTAGTTGTCAAAGTCAATTTTGATAATTTCTCTTCAAATTGTCCTCTCTCAATTTTCAAATTTTCAAAAGTTCAATTCTGGCCAATCTACGACAATTGGAGTTTGTTGGCCTAGAAATCCAAAAAGACGAAAACCTAAGCCATGTTGCATATTTCTCGGTTTAATTTGTTAAGTAAGTGCTTTTCCAGTTTTAGGATTCCATTAATTTCAATTTCAAGCGAAATAAGAGACGTTTGTGTTCCGTGGCCTAAAAACTTTTAAAAGTTAGACCATCCACTTCAAATCCTTGTAACTTGGTTTAGAATTGAGCTTTTTTAGATTTGAAAAGTGCTATGAAATTATAACAACTTGCGAAACTTATGAAAATTAAACATGACCTAGTTTTTTTAGTTAAATTGGGTTTCTAGGCCACCAGAACTGAATGAAAATTACATTGCCTAGAAATTAGTCATGGAGGACATAATAAAGCTTCGGAATGGTATTGAGATGAATAAAATCGATGATCAAGAAAAAATACAATATCTTAAAGGAGGCCAGACACCAAAAAAAAAGTTTTCGTGATATTTTGCCTAGAGAACCCCTATGAGGGGTTGAACTCATGACAGGCAACTCAGGGGTACAGCGCCGCTACCGGCTGAGCTACGGGGGCGCAAACACGGCTGACGACCGATGGTCTACATAAGCGCGGCGCGATTTTGTCCCCCGAACTGTCTCCCGAAATTTTTGCTGTCTCGCCTCCTTTAATGTTTTTCTTTAAAAAAAATCAAAATTTTGAAACTGTAACAAATGTTTTCGAAAAACATCGGAAATTCATAGTTTGTGGCCTAGAAATCCGAAAAGACAAACACCTAGACCATAATGCAAGTTTTTCAGTTTCGTTTGTTTAGATAATGCTATTCCAGTTTTCAGATTTCAAAAAGCTCAATTTTTAGCAAAGTTACGGCCATTTGTGTTCCGTGGCCTAGAAACTTTCAAAAGTTAGGCCACCAACTTCAAATCCTTGTAAATTGGTTCAAAAATAAGATTTTTGAAGTTTGAAAAATGGAATGGAATTGCTGAATTGAGCGTTTTTAGATTCAATCCTGTTGAATCATTCAAAAAATTTAAGATTACAAAAATTCAGGGCCGCCGCTACAGCCCAGCCGACCTTGCCGTGTTCTATCACCTCCTGAAGAATCGAGACACAAATATCGATTTTCCAAACGACTGGAATAACAAAGATCCAATGGTTCAACCCGTGGAATTTGAGCAAAGATGGTCATGCTCGAACTGCATGAAGCGATTTCGGAATTTTCAAAACCGACGGCTATGTCTCATTTGTATAACATATGAAGAGCTGACAGGCGGTGAGGAGTTTCCAGCAGACGACGTGCATTTGTACAAAGAAGAGCAGAGGAAATTGGATGAATGGAATCGGATTGAAGAGGAGAAGGAGATCAAATTGACACGAGAGGAAATGGATCGATATTTTGTGAAAAGAGAGGAGAGAAAGTTGAAAAGATGGAGAAGAGGAGAGCTGTATGGGGTGGAATGGGAGCATTTGAGAAAGTATTATATCATGGATGGCCGGAAGATTCCACTGGAGAAGCTGGAAGGCAATCGGTTGGCGCAGTTGCTCAGGAAAACAGAATTGCCCAAGTTGGAAGGGCCTACAGAGGAGGAGGAGGATGCGTGGATGGACCCGATAGAAGATTCTACAAGGTCGTCAGAATCCGGAGAGTCGGAAGCCACGTCATCAGCATCTAAGGCAAACTTGAAGAAGCCTGAGGATCCCAAAGAGTCGAAAAAAGTGTCAAAAAAGCCATTATCGGATCTCAAAGAGTCGAAAAAAGGTCCAATGGAAAAGTCTAAAAACCAAATAAAGCCATCATCGAATCCCAAAGAGTCGTTAGAAGGTTCGAGAAAGAGCAAAAAGTCATCAGATTCGATTTCGTCCTCTGAATCGTCTGAAGAAAATGAATCGAATTCTAGAAAAAGAAAAAATGAATCGAAAAGCGAGGCAAAACAGAAGAAGAGGCGATAGAAAAAGGAGGTGAGGTGAATTTGGGATTCTAGGTCATATAGGGGAAAACTAGGCCATATGAAAAAACTTGGCGAACATGTTCCCATTAGTTCAAACTTCTGTTGGAATCCTAGGTCAATCGGTTCCTAGACCAAGGAAAGCTAGGCCATGTTTTTAAGGTTTCAGGCCACTAGGATTCAAACAAACGATTCTTTGACTTTCTAGGACATCATGACTTTTTTTTAGGATCCTAGGCCACCAAAACCTAAACCTTGGCCAGTACCTGTTTCATACATTTCTAGGTCATTCCGAACTAGGAAATTGTGGTTTTTGGAATTCTAGGCCACTGATATAAAACCTTAGGCTATGGAAATGATAGCAGAAGATTTATTGGTTTTCTAGGCCATCATGTTTCTTTTCTGGGGTCCTAGGCTATTAATATTAGGTTCTATTTCAGATAATTCAAATTCTAGGCCACCGATATCTGGATCCACGCTACTTAAGGCTAATTCTAGGTCAGGGAAATTGGATTCTAGGCTACTGAACTCAAATCCTAGGCCACCAGAATCTGGATCATATTTTTTAGGTTTCTAGGTCATATTGGGAAAACTAGGTCATGTTAGAATCTTTTTTTTTAATTCCGAAAAAAAAATTAATCCGGCGTGATTATAGCTTGATCCTTCAATTCGACACATTCTGATGATCTACCAAACAATTTTCTCGGCTAAATTTGTTTTTTCCATTTTTAAAAAACCCATTTTTATATTTTTTCAACAACCCGAAATTGGCATTAATTGTTTTAAAACTATGTATTTGCTTTACAATGATAATAAATTACTTTTTTTCGTTATTATTGAGTTTTTTGGTCTGTTTTTGTTCCATTTTTAGTCCTTTTTTGGTCCGTTTTCCGTCCTTTTTTCCCGTTTTTTGGCCACATTTTCAGCCACTTTTGGTCCTTTTTTGGTCCGTGTTTGGTCCGTTTCTGGCGAATTTTGGTCTGTTTCCGGCCAATGCTGGTCCGGTGTTGGTCTTTTTTTGATCCGTCTTGGGTCCGTTTTTGGTATGTATTTGGTCCGGTTTTTGTCCGTTTTTTGTTCTTTTTTGGTCCGTCTTGGTTCCGTTTTTGGTCCGTTTTTGGTCTGTATCAAGTCTTTTTTCGACCATTTTTGGTGCGTTTTCGGGCCATTTTGATTCCGTTTTAGGCCCGTTTTCGGTCAGTTTCTGGTCCGTTTTTCGTTCACTTTTGCTCCGTTTTCGGTGTGTTTCTGGTCCTTTTTTGGTTCTTTTTTGGTCCGTTTTTTGTCCGTTTTTGTCCCGTGCTTGGTCAATTTTTGGTCCGGTTTGGGTCCGTTTTTGGAATGTTTTTGGTCCGTATTCGGTCCATTTTTCAGCCATTTTTCAGTTATTTTTCGGCCATTTTCCGTTTGCTTTTGGTTCGTTCTTTGTCCAGTTTCAATCCGTTCTTGGTCCGTTTTAAGTCTGTTTTTGATCCGTTTTTGGTCCGTTTTTGGTCTGTATCAAGTCTGTTTTCGACCATTTGTGGTGCGTTTTCGGGCCATTTTTGGTCCGTTTTAAGTCTGTTTTGAACCTTTTTTGGTCCGTTATTGGTGATCGATTTCAAATGTTGAAAAGTTTTGAAAAATTAAATCTGTCAAAATCATCTAAACTGAAATTATATTCGTATTTCGAAAATTAAAAATGCTCGAAACGGTGATTTTTCGGAAAAAAATCGAATTTTTTTTTTGAATTGAAATTTTTCTGAAATTCCGATATTGAGAATTTCCAGAATACCTATAAAGAAGTCATCAAAAAATCATAAAATAAAACAGTCATAGTTACTTTAATTATGAAACTGAAAATTTTCAATTTGAAAATAACAATTTTTTATTCCATAACTACAAGGTATACGAAAAACTATAAAAAATTAGCAAAAATGATGTTTTTTCTTTTTCAAAATTTAATTGACCAATTAAATAATTGTCTCAATATTCATTTCTCTGCGTTAATTGGGCTCGTTTTCCTTGATTTTTGCCATTTTTCTGGTCCGAATACTGTAGGTTCTCTTGATTTACGACTGGAGCCGCCGGTTCATGATATTTTTGACCCTGAAAACTGGTTAAATTAGGCCAATTAATGGTAATTGGCGATGATTACCGATTGGTCTTGTGAATTGGTTGGGATACTGTAGGTACTGTAGTTCGCATTGATTTTCATGAAAATTGTTCGGATGGGTGGCAGAGGTGTTCCAGTTGGTTTGGGGGCTGAAACTTTTGAATTTTGAAAAAATTTCCCTCAAAAAAAATCTTGGGGATTACTGTACCTGGATATCCATTTGGTCCACGGACCCAACTCCGATAGTCCCATCCTTTCTCGAGGGTCCAGCTGGGCGTGAATCCGACACTGTTGGCCAATTGTTGGAAGTTCTGAAACATTTATTGGAATTTTGCGAATTTTGAAAATTTGAAAAAAAAATCAAAATATGATGTTGAAACTGAAAATTTATATTATGGTTTTTTTATTTTCAGAATTTCGAATATTTTTGATTTTCAGGAAAATTTTCAGAAATTTTTAATATTCGAACTTGAAGTATTTTCGATTCTGGAGTTTTTCGAACTTTCGGGTTTTTCATAATTTCCGAAATTCCCGAAACTTTGCTTTTTTTTGGATTTCTGAGAAGTTCTGAAATGTTTATAATTTTTGCGATTTTTGCGATTTTGAACTTTTTTTGGATTTTCGGAAGAATTTTTGAATTTTTGAAAATTTAGGATTATTGAAACGTTAAAATTTTCAGAATTTTAAAATTTTTGGATTTTTCAATTTCCGATTTTTTGGAAATTTTATATTTTACACTTGTCTGCAATTTTCAGAAGTTTCGAATTTAGCATTTTCCCAATTTTTTGGAATTTTTGAAATCCTTCGAATTTTCGAAATTTTCGAATTTGTGGGTTTTTCAAAATTTAGAATTTTTGGAATTTCAAAATTTAAGAATGTTGGGAAATTTTGGGATTTTCGAAATTCAGAAGTTTCGGATTTTTTCGATTTTTTAGTTTTTAGAAAATTTTTAACATTTTGAATTTTTAAATTTTTTTCAAAAATCTCACATCAACTGGAGCCGCCGCACTATTCTGCTGTTGGCTCACTGGTTGCTGTGGCTGTGCCTGTGGATTACTGTAGTTTTGTGGCGCCTGGTTACTGTAGTTTCCAGCGTTCACCACCATCGATGCATCTTCCTGCTGTCCGTTTTGCATCTTTTTTAACCTTAATTAGAAGGTAATTAAAAGTTAACAGGGGTGATTAACAGGAAAGATCGAAAATATAAAATTTGGGATTAAAAACCCAAAAAAATTTTAAAAATTCAAGAAAAATCAATTTTTAAAAATTAAAGATTTCATTAATTAACTGAGCAATAAATTAGCAATTATCGAAAAACGGCAATCGGAAAATAATTAATTATTATAATTACTGGTAGTTAACTGTCAATGGGTCTGTAGGATACTGTTTGTACTGTAGTTTGACACCCAATTTTTCAAAATCCACCTGACGAGGACATGGCGGAAGGCGCTGGCCTGGAATGTCTGAAAATTTTGAGTTAATTGGTCTAGTTAATTACCCTAATGATCTATTTAATCAGAACCGGGAACTCACTTTCTGGTTTCATTGGTTGCAGCACGAAACGTGGCTGTTGCTGGGGATTACTGTAGTCATTGCTCATCATCATCGGGCTTCGCATTTGTTCCGGGTTACTGTAGTTTGGCGGTGGGTTACTGTAGGTTGTCGTTGAAACCGGACTTAACATTGTTTGTGGGTTACTGTAGTGTCCCATTTGATGTGTAGGCATCTGGTTTTGGTTACTGTTGTTTTGAGTTCGATGTGTAGGCATCGGAGAATTCTGGTTACTGTATCCATGAGTTTGATGTGCAGGTATTTGGTTTTGGTTACTGTTGTTTTGAGTTTGATGGGCAGGCATCGGAGAATTCTGGTTACTGTAGCCTTGAGTTTGATGTGCAGGTTTTTGGTTATTGTAGTTCACAGTTTGATGTGCAGGAATTTGATTTTGGTTACTGTATCCTTGATTTTGATGCGCAGGATTTTGGTTTTGGTTACTGCAGTTTTGACTTTGATGTGCAGGAATTTGATTCTGGTTACTGTAGCTCTGGGTTTGATGTGTAAGCATTTGATTTTGCTTACTGTAGCCATTAGTTTGATGTGCAGGTCTTTGGTTACTGTAGTTGAGTTGGACACCCATGGGTCGGCTTCCTTCGAAATTCGCATGAGGATTATTGTAGCTGGTGGTATTGTAGATGTGACCAGCAAAAGCCACGTCCCCTGAACTACTGTATCTCGTATGGTTACTGTAGTTCTGGCTACTGTACTGAAAACCTTGTGGTCGCTGGTTTTCATTTGAGCTCTGCTTACTGTAGCCAGTCGGATTACTGTAGTGAGCATTGCTCATCGAGTTCTGGTTACTGTACTGGTATCCTTGGTGGCTATTGTAGCTTGGAGGAATACTGTAGTTTGAGTTATTGTATCCTGGCTCAGAAGTTTCTTGATTCCAATTTTGAGTCTCCGGGGTACTGTACACCACGTCTTGCTGGTTTTCTGGATTACTGTAGGCAACAATTCTATCATTGCTCATTCCTGGATTACTGTTGATGATCTCTTGTATTCCCATTGAATCGAATTCTGGAGTGTCTTGAGTGCTGCGATTCTGAAATTCATGAAAATTTGGAGGAATTTTTTTAAAGGTGCATATCTCAAAAACTGAAAAAACTAGACAGTATTGAAGAAATGTAAAACATGAAATTTTACACGTTTTGGTAGTACAAATTTTTTTGTTAGAGTTGTTGGTTGTTGAGATATGCACCTTTAAAGTTGACGCGCCGTCTGCGTCTCTTCATCTCTCCAACTTTAAAAGCGCATATCTCAAAAACTAGAAAAGCTAGACAGTTTTTGTTAACTTACGAAATACGTAACATTTTATGCTCTACATCTCTCTAATTTTGAAAAATTGCCTAGTTTTTTTTTTTGAGATATGCGCTTTTAAAGTTAGGGCGCCTTTAATGCAGAGGGGAGGAAAAAAGTAAACTTTAAAGGCGCATATCTCAAAAACTAAAAAAGCTAGACCATTTTCATAAACTGATAAGATTAATACAATGTCATGCTCTCCATGACTAACCATAAATTCTCTCTCCAATTGCTCGGCAAACATGGGTAACGGGCTCAACAAGTCGAAGTCGAATGGATCATAATCCTTATCACTCGCTTTCTTCAAAAATTTTGGATTTCGATTCAAATATTCATCAACATCGGGTTCAAGAACAAGAGGTTCGTCGATTTTCGGCAATTTTGGATTCGTTTTTTCTTCTGCAACTTTTCGTTTCGTTAGCTTCTTTGGGTTAACCGCCACATCTTGAATATTCGGAATCACTGGGATTATTGAAATCAGATTTTCCGGTTCCTTAGACGTTTTCGATGCCCAGAACGTGTCCCAGAGTTGAGCTCTTTGCTCTTCAGAAGCATTTAGAAAATTGAAAATTCGCCTGATCGATGCCTGTCCTTCTGACTTCATTCGTAGGTATTCTGCCTTGTACCGTATTAGACTACGGTAGGAATTCAGCGAGCATTTTAGGATCATTTCGATGAGATCCTCTCGACGCATTTTTCTTGCAAGTCTCCAATTTTCAATTTTTCGGAGAACTTCTGTGGTGTCGGGGAAGGTTTCTGGTGGGAGGTTAGCGTCAAGGAAGGTGGGCTGCTCTGGTGGAATTTCCTGGGCTTTCGGCTTTTTGGGCTTCCTTTTAGGCTTTTTTGGGGCCTGATTTGGGTCCGAATTAGTGGCTATTAAGATTGGAACAGCTTCAGAAACTTCTGGAACCCTCTCTTGAGCATTTTGAGCCAAACTTGATGTCGTTGAGTCTTCTGGAACCGTCCGACTTGGTTGCTGATCTAAAAGTGTGGTCATTTGACTAGTTTGCTGAGCAGTTTGAGCCGAATTAGAGATAACTTTATATGGAATGCCTTCTGGAACCTGTGGGATTCTTTGTAGAGCATTTTGAGCCAAATCTGGAATCGTTAGGTCTTCTGGAATCGTCTGAACTGATTGCTGAGCTATTTGGGGCAAACTTTGTAAATTCGGGGTTGTAAGATCTTCTGGAACCTTCTGCCTCATTTCCTGATCTTCACACTCCTCCTCCATACAATCCTCATCATTCCCAATCTCATGCAACAACCATAGCTCCTCGGAAATGTCCAATTTCAAAATTCCCGCCTTCTCCTCCTCCCCAATTTTCAAAAAATTGTACATCCTCCGAATCAGCTCTCTTCCAGCAAACATATCTTTCCCTTGCACCTTAGTCTCTCTCAAATTCAAATATTCCGATTCCAGACATCCAAGGATTTTTTCAGAAAATTCGGAAATCGGGATTTTCGAGGCGTCGAGCCAGATTTTGGTGGCATCTAGGATTTGGTTCGTGTCCGGGACAAAATTGGCAGGTAGTTTGGCGTCGAGGATTCTGAAGACATTGTTGATTTCTTCTTGAAAATTGGGGTCTTCGATTTCTTCTAGTTGGATGTCATCAGATTCGCTGTTTGGGCTTTCAGGAGATTCGAAAATGGGAGATTCTTCAAAGATTAGAGCATTCTGAAAATGAATTTTTCAAAATAAAATATGAAATTCAGAAGCTCAAATCTTACCTCGAAATTTTTTTGCAGATTATCTGGGACTTTTTCAGCTAAAGCTGGACTATTTTCTCGACTCGTATTCACCAATTCTGGACCATTTCCATTTTCAGAAGTCTTCGATGCAGCTTTCTGGAGTTTTGGACGAACGATTTTGGAAATTTTGGTTTTCACAGCCTGCAAAAATATTTAATTGTAACAGTCGCAAATAAAAAAAAGATACTGTTATCATAAAATCATTTCTGAACTCCATGAAACAGTATTAAAATTTGTAGAAATCTAGTCTGAAAAAAATTAGTTTTCGGGTTGATTTTTTCGAATTTTCCGAATTTTAGCATATTTTGAGAATAATGTCAGCCGTTTTTCAGATATTTGGACCTATTTTCCAAGTTTTTTTTTGCTGTTCCAGCCATGTGTTTTAAACGAGTTTCGGTTTTTTTATTAATCGACGAAAGATATTAAAGTTTCTTCATGCTGTTCTCTAGCTTTTCTGATTTTCAATTTTCAAAAAAAATCTGAATTTGAACAAAATTCTTTTGACAGTTTCAATTTTACTATAAGAGATTTTACATAATTTTTTGACGATTTCTCAGAAATGTTCCTGCAAAAAGAAATACTTGTACAAAACTAGGTCAAATCTAACAAATATAGAAGAAGTGATCTAGAAAAGTGATAAACGTTGAAAACACTTAACAGTAACAGCGAAAAATTGCTTTTTATCATGGATCTTAAGAAATATGTCTAAAAAATTGTCAATTGATAAAACTTAGTTTGATAAATATTTTATCAGTTAATCATTTTTGACCACTTTTTGATATCTATTGCAGGAAACGAGATAAACTGTCTCAAAGTTAACACAACACAATTTCCAAGTATGAATAGAATAGAAAAGTTTCAAAAAATTCTTAACACATAACCGAAACAGCAAATAAAAAGCTTTCAAATTTGGCTCGTAAATTTTGACCCAATTTATCTCGGCTCTTGATAATGATATCAAAAAGTTGTCTACTGATAAAATAGTACTGATAATGTGATAAATGTTTTATCAGGTAATAATTTTTGTACATCTTCTATAGGAAGCGAGATAAAGTGACTCAACGTTAATGGTAATGAAGCGTTTGTTAATAAGATACTTTGCTAACTTTGAGTACATTTGTCTCGGTTACTATGAAAGATATCAACCGTTAAAATATTACTGATAGCATGATAAATTATTTATCAGTTGACAACTTTTTAATATCTCTAGCAGGAAACGAGATAGACTGAATCTAAGTTAAGAAAAAATTTTAGTGCGCTTCTTCATGGTCCCTAAAGTTAGTGATCCAGAAAATATTCCCAAAATCTACAGTAACCCTCCAATTCCCAAACCTCACCTCCAACTTTTTTTTCTGATTTTCCGACAGACCAAAATCCCTCAAAAACAAGTTCTCTCCCGGATTCTGCATTCCTTCAAAATTGGTCCAATCCTTTGTTGAGATCTTCAACTTCATAATTTTCTCCTTCACCTCTTCCGTCATCTCAATCCAATTGTGCATTCGAAGAACGAATTTCTGAGCACGGAGCAGCTCATTCCACTCGGCTTTTCGAGCTCTCATCTTTCGATAAACCTTATCAGTACATCCCAACACAGAGTTGGCCAAATCGACGAGCGACATTTTTGGCGGTTTCTTTTTGCAAGGATCCGTTAGGGACAGGTTGCGTCGCCAACCTTCAATACTGTCAACAAGACCTGGGGCGTCTGGTGTGAATCCTTCTGGTAATGGAGCGTTGATCATTTTGAGAGCCTCCAGAATTGTGAACACTTTTTCAGATTCCGCTTTTCGGAGACTTGCAATACGGTAACTTTCCTGTAAGAAGAATTTTTGAGGTTTAGATGATTTGGTTTACTTAACGATTTGAAAACGCTTAAAGAACATTAAGATGTTTTCAACACATAAGTGAAACATCAAAAATCGGCTTGTTGAAAAAGGGATGGTAAACGGCTTAGAAAACGCTGCACTGTCAACTTCAAATCCACATATCTCATTTCCTGTGAAAGATATCAAAAATGTGTCAATTGATAAGATGTTACTGATAATATGATAAACCTTTCATCCATTAGCAACTTTTTGATATCTTTCACAGGAACGGAGATAAATTATTTAAAAGTTGGAGGGTCTTTTTACAGGCTTAATATTAGCTCAATGAATAGATAAAACCTAAAAATGGTTCAAAGTTAGTCAAAGCTAGCTGGAAATAAATTCAACATTTCAGAAAGTAGCAATAACCTTTGAACCCAGAAAAAGACTGTACTATTACAAAATTATCAAAATCGGCCTTAGAATGTTTCTGAAACAGCTAGCAAATATTTTAGACTATCTGAAGCTACCTCATGGAATACTTCAAGAACATTAGTGGCAACGGGCCCTGCCATAGTTTTGTTTAGAATCAGTTTTGACCAACCAAAATAGATGTGATAGAAGAACTCAAGTGCTACAGTATGGTACTATTCGGGATACTGTATCTTGTCTATGAACAAAGTTACAGAGAAAAAGGAGGAGGCGTGTTCTCCGCAGAGAAATCTAGCTCCGCCCCTCAACGAATGGGCAGCCTCCTTTTTTGACATTTTATAGAAATTTTCTTTCGAAAATCCCAACCAGATTAGTTTTGGTCCGTTTTCACTGATTCTTTTTTGATCGATAGAAAATCTATTTGGCTACGTGGTTACCAAAATTCGACAAGAATTGAACTTTTTGAACATAGATATAATAAAAAACGTACGAGTGGATCGGGGTTTTTTCATCTTTTCCGTTTTTTGCCGCTATTCACTTTGAGTCAATTAATCTCGCTTTCTGTAAAAGATATCAAAAAATTGTCAATTGATAAAATATTTATCGTAATATCAGTAATATTTTATCGGTTGACAATTTTTTGATATTTCTCACAACAACCGAGATAAATCGGACCAAAGTGTAAAAAGGAGTTTAAATAGGTAAAAAAATGTTTCAGAAACTGCTAAACAGTGGCTAAAAAATTTCAATTGTTTTCAAAGTGACATATCCAGAATATAATTCAACAAAAAAAAACGTTTCTAAAATCTGATGTGAAAAACAAGAGGCTCAACTTTAATCCAATTTATCTCAGTTTTTGTAAAAGATATAAAAAGATAAAAGTTGTTTTAAGTTAAAAGATATAAAGTTGTCAACTGATAAAAAGTTACGGATATTATGATAAACATTTTATCAGTTGACAATGTTTTGATATATCTTACAGAAACCGAGATAAATTAGGTTAAAGTTGGAAGGCTCTTTTACAGATTCCACCCTGAATCAAAGTATATGAAAATACGCCAGAAATGATTCACAGCTGGCGGTCCTGTCATAGGTATTTTAGGACCCATTTTTTGACAAGCTAAATTCTATATGATAGAACATGACAAGTACTGCAAAATGATACAATTCGGAATACTGTATCTTGTCTACGAAACTATAGCAAGGCCCGCTAGGGACGACATGCCTCGTTTTCAAGTATTTTCAGGAAAGTTCCAAAAACAGAACTAAATTTGGAAGACTCTAAAATCGCTATGTCTCTGTAAGCGTACCAAAAAAGAAAGTATAGGAAAAACGACACATATGTTTGGAGAAAAGAAGAAGAAGAAGAAGAAGAGAAAGAGAGAGAGAGAGAGAGAGGCGCAGAGAAGACGGAGACTCCTCCCCTGGCAGGGGAGGAAGGGCATGGCAAGTCTACGTCCTCCCCACGAGATTAGTAAGATGTTTTAATGAAAAATTGTTCTGAGCTACAGTATCCTAGAGCCTCTGCTATAATAAAAATTTAGTAAAAAGACTATTATGAATTTCAAAGCTTTCTGATTCTCTTGGAAATTTTGATTTTTTGAATTTTTACACATTTCCGGTAAGAGATATCAAAAAGTTGCCAACTGATAAAATATTTATCATGTTATCAGTAACATTTTATCAGTTGACAGTTTTGCGATATCCTTCACAGGAATTGAGATAAGTGGCTTAAAACTAGAGGCTCTCTATTGGCAAAATTTGAGCAAAATTAGAAGGGGTATTATAGTGTTAAGGATAATTGAATTTAAAAAAAATTAAATTATCGATTTGTTAAAAAAAAAACTCACCTGCAACTCCAAAATCATCGGATGTGTCTCCGGTGTCGGAATCGCCAATCCCTGCTGCATCGCACTCTTCTCTCGATCATACATATTCCATTCCAAACTCAAATTCATGGTGACAATTCGTTGGCGAAGGCATTCACAGACACTCAAAAAATTGAAAAACCTCCAAACGCCCTCTCTCCGTTGGACCATATCCTTCCATGCCATCTTCTTGTGTTGTCTCAATTTTCCATAAACCCCAGATCCTCTTCCGATCACTTGATTCGAGAAATCAATTTGTCGAATGTTCTTGACTGCTCTCCAACAATCAGCACTATCCAGAATGTCGGCAATGTTTGGGGTGTATCCAATTGGAAATTCGCGGTCCAGGAATTCACAGATTTGTCGGGGAGTTGGTTGGATTGGAGAGTTGCATTGGCACACTCCTGGTTTGAGGGTCTGAAAAGATTTCTGGTTTAGAAGGCTGTGCGCTTTAGGCTTAGTGACCTTATGCTTAAAGACTTCAGACTTAAAGTCGCTAAACTTAAAAAAAAGTGCTGTAGGTTCAAAGGATTTCAGCTTGATAACTTTAGGCTTAAGGATTTTTTATTAGAACGCTTGGGGCTTAAATGTTAGGGCTTTAAGCTTGAAGTCTCTAGGCTTCAGGGCTCTAGACTTGAGGGCTCTAGACTTGAATGTTCAAAAGCGTTAGGCTTCAAGGTTTTTAGCTTAACGCGTTAACCTTAAAGTCACTAGGTTCAAATGCTTCAAGATTTTAACTTACAACTGGAGCGAGTTTTGTATGTATAACTTGAATTTCGGAATCACTTGGTACTGTATCCGATGCTTCTGGTTTCTGAGTCATTGAAGTTGTTGGAAGTGGTTCTGAAAATTTAAGATCATTGATTAGGAATAAGGTTTAAAGATGAGGGGGTATGAACTTCTTGGAATTTTCAAAAAACGTATGCTAATTTTGACATAAGATTCCTAAATATATCAAAGTCGTGAAACGGAAAAGTTATTTACTTTTTTGCAGTTAAAGCATACTTGTAATCCGGGCCTTTGCCGGGCCTTCGCGGGCCCTGCCATAACTCCTTTCAGAATTGATGTTTTCGAACCATCTCAATCAGGTATGATAGAGCTCCACGAGTACTACAAAACGGTATTATTTGGAATACTGTATCTTGTCTATGAACAGAGTTACAGAGCAAAAGGAGCAAAAAAAGCAGGCCCGCCCCGGGCCTGCCGGGCACTGGGAGAAAAGCCACTTTATGACCTGTAACTTTGTTTATAGATAAGATACAGTACTCCAAATAATAAGGTTTGAAAATATGTTGAAAATTACATTAAATTTTGCTAAAAATGACTGAAAATCACCCAAAATCACCTACAACAGTTCGAAAAACGGCTCAAAATGATCAAAAACTCACCTCCCATAATTATCGGTGAAGCATCAAATGTTGCTGTTGAAGAAGACGGTTCGTTGGGAAGCATCGTTGGGCTTCTGAAAAAAGTCTACAATAATATGGCTCTCAGAATCTCGACCCAATTTATCTCACTTCCTGTTAAAGATATCAAAAAGTTGTCAACTGATCAAATGTAACTGAAATTTGAAAAGCATGATATCAGTTGACAACTTTTTGATATCTCTTACAGGGAGCTAGATAAACTGAATCGAAGTGTAAGATTAACGGATACAAGCTCATGATGAATTGAGAAAAGATAAAACAAGGAGAAGAAGAAAATTCAGTGAAACAATGAAATCAAATGTTGATATCGATTTTTAAGAAAAGGGGTAAAAGTAGATCAAAAAAAATATGAGAAAAAATGGCGGCAAATTAGAGGAAGTAGGTTTCAAACTATTTTAGATATGAATCCAATATAGAATTAGAATGATTTTCTAGAAAAAAAAACATTCAGAAACAGCAAAAAAATTGAATGAAATTATCCCAAAAATAACTTAAAGTTAATCAAAAATTGGTCTGAAATAGCTTAAAAACCTTCAAAAAGCATCAAATTTTCAGAAAATGAACTCAATATTTTAAAAAATTGACCCAAAAAACTCAGAAATAAACTTTAAAAGATCTAAACAATGGTCCCAAGAACCTGTCAAAATATCCTTAAAATTTCAAAGAAAGGACCTCAAACCGTTCAAAAATGACCCCAACATCTCATAAATGAGCTCGGAAACTCAAAAAAATTGACTCAAAATCTCTAAAAATGGACAAAAACCTAAAAAAGTGACCTCAAAACATCTAAAACGAAATTTGTTCAAAAAATGATCTAACGTTGTTTAAAGGCGCTTGATTTAAATGAATGACCCTAACCAAAAAGAAAAAGGGGTGCAAAAGACACACAAAAAACATAGGGACCATCACATTCCACCTTACACACAGACAGTGTCAATGAAAATCGATGAGTGCCTGTGCTGTGCACAGTGCGCATATAGAAGACCAAGATAAAGAGGGGCTGTTGGTGGGGGGACAAGGACGGGTGAAGGAGGACTAGCAACACACAAACGGCATAAACTACGGTAACTCCGTCTATCTTCCCCTAGGCGGGGCAGCCACACTGAACAAACAGGGGGTCACCCTCTTTTTTTTCTCGGGCTGCTACATTGCAAATGCGCTCTATAGGAGGGAGCTTGTCTGTCCGACAGAGGGACTGTTGGGGACCCTTGGGTAGGGGAGTCACCCTCCAGGAAGACATACTAGACAATTAGAAAGTGCAATGTGCAATTGCGCTCTGTCGAATAGATCGCCTAAGAATCGAAATGCGCTCTATTGGACTGTTTAGAAGTCACCTAGAAAACGAAAAGGAGTATAAAAGGCCTTCGATTCCTAAATATCCTAGAGGAAAGACAAGGGGATAGAAGAGTCTAGAAGATAGGATTGAGCTCCTAGAAAATAGTAATTCTTTCAGGAACTTGCTCAAAAATTGTCCTAAAGATCTGAAAATACGTTAACAATAAACTAAAATAAACATTATCTACAACAAATGTACATCGTAATCTCAGAGTCATTCATATTTCCTAAGAACGATGAAACAGGAAAAAAAATGCTGGAATGATTTGTGCAAAAAGGAAAATAGTCAAACATTCAGGCCAGAATGAGACTAATAGAAATAATGAATTTGGTTTCTCATTAAAGGTGGGGGGACAGGAGATTTTTCGTAGTTTTTTTGTAGCTAGAGTATGCATTCTACCGTGACGGTGTACAACGCTTAATGTCACTCTGCGTACAGCTGTCGTCCTCGCCTTTATGTATGCAATCGGACGTGTGCTTTCTCTTTGCCCGCGTGGCTCAGTCGGTAGCGGCGCCGTACCCTCAATCATCGTCCTCACAAGTTCAACTCCTCGAGGGGCATCTTTGAACGGAATTTCGAGAACATTATTTTTTTCATGTCCCCCACCTTTAATACAGATGTGTGCCTTCTGAACAAATCTATAGGATATGGATGATAGGGTGAAGACAGACATTTTCAGTTTTTGGATCTGAAGACGTAGAAAGTGGTCTGGGACCCTCTAGTTTTATGACAATGTATACGTTGGGGTGAAGACAGGTACAGTAAGATACAATTTCAAAAGCACTGTCAATGTCATACTAGAACCCGACTACCTTGAACAATAGGACTCCTTCCGTTTGGCCCAATTTATCTCGGTTACTGTAGAAGGTATCAAAAAGTTGTTAACTGATAAAACGTTACAGATGCCATGATAAGCATTTTATTAGTTGACAACTTTTTTATGCTTTTCGAGGCAAGCGCTATGCCTCTGGTTGAACTCCACAACCAAGTGGGCCAAAATCCGACGACGAATGAAGGTGGAGCACTGGCTGGGTACTAATTATGGGTAACTGGAGGCAATCAAGTCGAAATCTGGAAAAAACCACTTGAACAGTCTGCATTGTGGTCCGCTACGACGGAAAAACGGATCTCATGGCGACCCGGTAGATCAAGAGAACAAAACATTTTTTTTGAAAATTTGTATTTTGAAATAAAAAATTAAGAAGCTGAAAATAATGATAATATTTCAAATGTGTCTGAAAAAGTAAAGAAAAACATTTCTGGATTGAAAACAATTCTTTAAAATTTTTTACAGGATTTCTTTAAAAATCTTCCAAAATCTGGAAATTTCTTTAAAACAGGAAAATTTCATAAAAAATGGCATCATCATTAAGTACACTGAAATTCTGAAATTTTAAAAAATTTTAGCAATATTTTGAAACATTGAAGAATTCCAACTTTTGAAAAAAAAATTAAAACCAATTTTGAAAATATTTTGGAAGGTTTTGTTTGTCAGAAACAAAGAAAAATCCAAAAAAGAGTTGAGATCTGGAGAAACCTGAAACACTTAATTTTTGGAAAATAATTTATAGTTTTTCCTGGACTTTCTCTACCAAAATCTGAACAAATAATTTGTCTGAAAAAAACCTGAAAAAAATTGAAGCATATTATTTGTCAGACGCAAAAATAGGTTTAAAAAAAGTAGAAATCTGTAAAAGTCGGAAAATTTCCTAAAATTGAACAATTTTATTTTTGGAAAAAATCTCAACTTTTTCGATTAAACTTTTCCAAAATTTCCAAAAAATGAAAATTGAAAAATCGTCCGAAATGTCATAAATTCATTTTGATTTAAGGAATTTGATCACCAATAAATTAGGGAACGACGGCCCAACAAAATGATTGCTAACATCTTATGCAACTTTTTGAAACAGAACAAATTCAAATAATTTGAAATTTTTTGGGTCATGACCTGGATTTTTTTTAGGTCATGACCTATTTTTTCTAGGACATGACCTAAATTTTTCCAGGTCACGACCCATTTTTTTCTATGTCATGACCTGGATTTTTTTTAGGTCATGACCAATTTTTTCTAGAACATGACCTAAATTTTTCCAGGTCACGACCCATTTTTTTCTATGTCATGACCTAATTTTTTTCAGGGCACTGCCTATTTTTTCTAGGTCATGACCTAAATTTTTCTGGGTCATGACCTAATTTTCAATTTGTTCTAGGTCTTAACCTAATTTTTTATTTTTCAAAAAAAAAAGTTCTGAAAAAATACAGTTTTTAGAAATTCATAAAAATGGCTACCAACCTTTTTGGAAATTGTCAATTTCTTGGATTTTTGAACACTTTTTTATTTCTTTAATTCCGAAACTTCACATGTAATAATCAAATTTCAAATCAGAAAAATCAAAAATTCAAGTTTCACCGAAACAGGTGATTTTTATTTTTCCTAAACAACAAAAGTCACATGATTCCATTTTCTTCAAAACTACACTAGCAAATTTCCACAACTTGTTGAAAATTTACCAATTTTTAAAAAATCACAAAAAAAATGTTCAATTTGACAATCGATGAAGTGTTCGACTCGGCAAAAGACACATTTGCTTTAACATACTTTTTCATTTTTCTGGCACTAATTTTATGTTTTTTGGTGATTTTGCCGTTTTATGTGTATGTCAATAAAGTGAATCGAGAAAGGGATAAATCGGTGCGTTTTAAGCAAAGTTATAAAAAAGTTTAAAAACCGGAATTTCTAAATTTCTAAAAAAAATTGAGAGTTTTTTTTTCGGTTTCATTTTGTTCTTAAAATTGTGTCAAAATTTGAAGTTTTGTTATGATTCTACAAGAAGTATGGTTATTTTGAATTTCCATTTTTCGTTTTTTCAGACTCCAATATTCCCAATAACCAATCATTTTTACGAGATTGCCAAAGTTTCGTATTTTCTATTTTTGTATATAGTTATCTCATTTCTGTTGATGTTCATTTTGTCCATTAATGATTCGTAAGTTAATTGCCATTCTAATTACCCTTAAGTTAGCAATGATTGGCTGTGCTACACGGTTACATGGGCCAAATTTTAAAATTTCGATTAATAGTAGTTTTATTTTCAGGTGTTTAAAACATTCTAGAACTTTCTTGAAAAATTGGAAAAATCTGAAAATAATTCTAAAATCATTTCGATGTTAATGTATTGTCGAATTAAGAAAACTGGGAACCTGAGATTTTGAAAACCATCGCTTTTTTTATCTTCGAAGAAGCGCGGAAAAATCGTAATTGTTCACACTCAAAATCGTAATAATCTAGAGCTATTATGCTTGTCTGAGAAAAAAAAAGGTTAGAGAGTATTTTTTGCAGTCTGAATACGGTAGCGATATCGAAGCGGAGAGCCTAAATAGCACACATAATTTGGAGACACAGACACTTTTTCTCTGCGTCTCAACCTTTTTTTTCTCAGACAAGGATAATATCAACACAATCACTGACATTAAGAAAATTTCTAAAATCTTTAGCAACTTTTCAAAACAGTGAAAATTCGATCTTTCGAAAACACTTTTTTTGAAACAGTTTTTCACATGACAATGCAGGATGCTAATACACATGCCAATACAGAATGTCCCACACACCGTCGACTTTCAGCCCATATATATCTTTTCCTGCGAAAGATATCAGAAAGTAGTCAACTGATAAAATGTTACTGATATTATGATGAACATTTTCTCAGTTGACATCGTTTTGATATCTCTCGCAGGAACCGAGATAAATTGGTTTAAAGTTAAGAGGTCGGCAGCCAACCGTGTAGCTCCGCCAGGACGCGCCGACTTTTCAACTTTGACTCAATTTATATCGGTTCCCATAAAAGGTGTCAAAAATTGATCAACTGATAAAATTTTTATCATGTTATCAGTAATTTTTAATCAGTTGACCACTTTTTGATATCTTTCACAGAAATCAAGATAAATTGGCTCAAAGTTAGTAAGCTCATTCTAGTAGAGTGTTTACGGTATCTTCAAAAAATTTAGTGATTTTTTTCTGAAAATTTAACCGCTAAATTTTTAGTGCTGGTTATGCTACACTAAGCTGTGTAACCTTTATTGTCACCTGTTTCTCCTTATACGTAATTGTTCAAGTTTGCCAACTCCTTATATCATTTCTGGCTATCCAAAGATTATTCTTATATTTTCTACCAAATTCCGAAAAGTACTTGAAAAAGGTTCAAAATCTTCTAATTACCAATATTCCCTATATTTATATAATTTTTGCAATTAAAGACATCTTGGGCTTAATTCTTGGTTTCGGCTGTGAAGCTTTGGAGTGCAGTGAGCAGAAAAAGATGAATTTCAAACTTTTCTATATTTCAACTTTTTTTATAATTAACTTTTTGTTAATTATCTCTGCAATTCTGTATATTCCTATTACTGTAAGTGTATGGAAATTGTCCAAAGAAATTTCGAAGAACAACACTTATAAATACATTTTTTATCAGACTCTGGTAATTTTGATTTTCAAATCGGTAATTAGAAACTAATTAATTTTAAAAAGTTATTAATTTTTCCTATTTTCAGTTCTCCATACCTTTTATTCTGCTAATGGTCGTTCCCTATTTGTCCAGTGGTCTTGTCTCGATTTCAATTGCTGTAATTGTGATGGACATTATAATTATCCCCCTAATTATTCAATTATCTTATCTGGGGTGTAACAAACGAAATATTCAGATTTTGTTCAAGAATTTTAGCTTTTCCAAATTTTTGAAGGTTTTATTGGATTTCGAAGGAATGGAATCGACGGTTCAACCTGGAATTAACTCGACGAATTCATCAAGAACATCTCGGAATCGAAATTTGGGATCTAATTGATTTTTGACTTTTTTATAATTAACTGTAATTAAATATCTTAAAATGTCCCATACAATTAAACAGAGAAAAATTCAAAAAAAAAGAAAAAATAGAAAAATGAATCCATTGAAACTGATGAAAATTGATTACCGTAAAACCTGTATCATAAGGGTCCCTATGTTGTTCGAAATTGAATATGTTTTCAGTAAAAAACAATTATAGAATTCCAAACAAACGTGCTCAAGTGTAGTGACTTTCAACGAATTTTTCAAAATAAATATCGGGACTCTTCTAATTGAAGAGCCCCTGGGCCAATCCTTCTAATACAGGTTTTACGGTAATTCTTCCCTCCAATTTTTCACTTTCTGAGGCTGAACAATCATGGCAACATTTTGCTGATCACAATATAACAATGCCTTAACACCGTCCATGCGCTGGTTACTGTAGCAATCACGAATTACCACGGGCTCTCCGTAACCGAAAATAACCGGATAGAAATACAGCAGTCCATAGGAGAAGTTACCATTCTCTCCGATCTCGTTTAATTAAATAATGAAAATTATGCAATCAAGAAATATATTATCTATCAGTTGTATCATAATATTTTAATTGGATAAAAATAAAAATTTTGTGATTTCACAAACTGGAGTGTGAATTCACAAACTGAAATTCAGAAACACGAAATAATTGGATAAAATCTCCCACCCAAAAGGTGAGAAAAGATTCTCAAATTTTTCAAAAAAATTTTGTGAGAAAATTTCATTCAATTCTGAGTATAATGGAAAACGTTCTACCACCGATGCTCAGTCCGCTTGGAAGCATGGAAAACCAATGAGCAATTGTTTGAATGGCAAATCGGATAGTGGATTGTGCAAGGCACTATGATTTGTGAACTCTTTTGATGAGGAAAATAAATTATGTATTTTGTTTCGTTTTTTTTTGTTGGATAATACAGTATTTGAATTTTTGGAATTTTTGGAAAATTTCACTGTTCCAGAAAACCCATTAAAGTTCTAATAGTTGAAAGCGTTTGTTGGGCACCTCCTATACTTGAAATTAAAAAAATTGAAATTTCTAAAATTCAAAACTTTTGAAATTTCGACAGTTCTTCTCGCATGTTTCTTTAAAGGTGGGGGGACATGAAAAAAATAATGTTCTCGAAATTTCGTTTAAATAGCCCCTCGAGGAGTTGAACGTGTGGGGGCGATGATTGAGGGTGCGGCGCCGCTACCGACTGAACTACACGGGCAAAGAGAAAGCGGTCGCCCGATTGGATACATAAAGGCGAGGACGACAGCTGTACGCAGAGTGGCATTAAGCGTTGTACACCGTCACGGTAGAATGCGTACTCTGGCCCCAAAAATCCCCCGTAAAATCTCCTGTCCCCCCACCTTTAAATTGGTTAAGAGGACATTTTAGAACCACTTATTTGGCAACTAGATAGTTCTGAAATGTATGTTTTCCAATGTTACAACAACTAACCAAAAGTATTGACAAATTTTGTTTGTTTAGGCTCTCCAGGTGGTTAAACATTCTTTAATTCCCTTCTTTTCCCTATTTTATACAGTTACATTATTATTATTATTATTTTCATGACTAAACCACACAAAACAATGGTCATCACACGAAAACGAAGAGACTCGAACAACACATTCTTCTGTACTTTTGTATTCTTTTGTCAGTGTTTAATCATTCTTTATTTGTATAAACATTTGAAGAATAGTGAGTTTTTAAAGTTTGGATTGATTGGAAATTTTCTGTTTCAGATGCTCCACTGGATTTGGAAAATGTTGAACTAAAGGTAATACGAATCTTTTTCCATGTTGGTTCTTCAAAATTCTAGATTTAGAAATGTCTGAAATCTTTAGTGTGCTTAAATTCTTTACTTTTTTAAATAGGATTTTGTAGGAATAATGGTCATTTTAAGCTATAAAAATTACTGTAATTACCATACTCAACTTAAAAAAATAAGCATACTTTTGCAGAAAATGCGTCTAGAAGCGTTCAAGGAATCCGAGAAGATTCGAAAGGAAATTTTGGAACTTTCAAAACAAAATGAGACGACACAATTCTACAATAGCATCAAATTCGAGGCGTTTTGTCCAAAAAAAGTGAGAATTGGAGGAGATGGTGACAGTGGGAAAGTGTCTTGTGATCCACAAAAAGCAAAGATGGACTGCACGTAGGTTTTTGGCGGGAGATTTGAATCTGAAATTTTTCGATTATGGGCTTGAAAGACAGTCTCAGTATTGAGCGTGTTTTATTTCCGCAAGTTTTGATATGGAATTTTTGGAACAGAAAAATTTTATATGAAATAACTTTTTGGAAAAATACTGTATCAGATTTGGCAAATATCTATTTTATTCAAAAAAATCTCATTCGTTGACCGTCTACTCCCCAAAGTACAAATAAAATTAGAACTTCTGAAAATCCCAAAAATTTAAAATTTCGAAAATTTCTAATTAGCCTGAAATTCGAAACTCCTAAACTTCAAAACAAAACTTTCAAAATTCCTGAAATTTCAATTTTTTGAATTTAAGATATTCGGAAATTTTACAAAATTCCAAAAAAAAAAAATGTACAAATTCTAAAAATTAGATACATTAAAAATTCATGGAAAAATGATTTTAAAGTTGAATTTTTGAAAAATTTCACTGTTTGAGAATTTTCATATAAAAGTTCTAAAAGTTGTTATATTAATATTGTAATTTTTATTTAAATCTTTAGTAATCGACAAAATTTAAAAAAAGCTTTTAAAAAAGTTTCGAAAAATAGGAAGTTTCAAAAAGGTCTGAAATTCGAAAAAGAAACGAACATTTTTTGAATTTTTGAACGTTTTTTTCCGGTAACAATGGACTTATCAGTTTTATCAATTTAATCAGTTTCATCAATTTTGCAAGTTTTAATATGGATTTTTTGAAGCATAATTTTTTTAAAGAATTTTACAAATTATAATAAAAAAATATGAAAAAATATCAGAAATTCAGAAATTCATAAATTTCCAAATTTTCTGATTTTTTAGGATTTCAGGAAATCCGGATATTTCAAAAATTCTTAAAATTCGGAAATCCAGGAAACCTAGAAATTCAGATTTTCAAAAAAATTGACTTTCCAAAAAATTCCAGCAGAATATGTTCCAGAATGCTCTCATTGGGACTAAACGATCAAATCCAATTCGACGAGGAAATCCAAAAAATCACTGATAATCGATGTAAAATTGTTGGCGCTGATATGGCGGAGCAAAATCAGACTACAAAGGAAAAATACGATAAAATGAGGGGTCAATTGTTTGTTGGAAACATTCCAGACACATTGAAAATGTGTGAGTCTTGAAAATTTCAAAAAAATTAAGTTTCGAAATTTTGGAAAATTCCATAATTCCAAAAGTTTTTCTCTTTCGAAAGTTCCAGAAATTCCGAAAAATTATTTTTTCACTTAGTTTTTCATCAGAACATCCTTCCTGTTTTACTAAACTTTCAGTTAATTTTCCCCAAATTTTCAATTTTCTTCACAGATCGACTAATGATTGATTCTGAATCCCGGGATGTGGAAATTCTGAAAATCGATATCGAAAGTTCGGAACATGAAGCACTGGAACCATTTTTGAAGGATTATTTTGTATGCCAGATTCTTATTGAAATTCATGGACACCCAGAGAAACAATTGGAAATGTTGAGGAAATTGTCAAGGTTCGATTTGTTTCAATTCAAAAAACTTGGCGGAAATTCAGAAAAAATTTCAAAAAGTTCAAAAAAAACAGAAAAATTAATTAGTCCATGGGCATTGGTGAAATTTGATGATTATGATTGAATTCAGAGATTTCAAAAGTTAAAAAAAAAAAAAAATATATTTATTTGCAATACATGGGGGAAATCGATAGATAATTTGGCAAAATAATAAATAAAATCTGAAATTTCTCAAGTTTCGGCAAATCCAAGAGAAAAAAATGCGTCAATTAAGAAATTTTGGCATTCGAGATTTCAGGAATTTCAGAAACATAATTTCTTGAATTTCGAGCTTTTCCCAAATTTTCAAAAAATTTAAAACCCAAGAGATTCTCACCACTCATATTTCTGAAAAATGCTCAAATTTGGCTGTAATTCAAAACAAAAATTATCAAAATATTGAGAAAAGTTTAATTTGTTTCAAAATCATTGTAAATTTTTAAATTTCAGTCCATCTTTTCAATCCAAACCGTCTATTTATTTCTATAATTCAGAAAATTGGTGGCATTTCGATAAGTTCGGAAATTACAAAAAATCAGAAAAATCAGAAATTTGCATTTTCCAATACATACATTCAGAATTTGTAGAATCCAGTTATTTCAGAAGGAAGTTCCGAAAAAGTTCTAAAACTCGAAAATTCGAAAACACAAAATTCCTAATCCGAAAAAAACTTTAGAATATGAGAAGTTTCAGGAGTTCTAGGAAAACGAAATACAAAGTTCCAAATTTTACAATGTTTCTGACTTTCAACAAATCCCAAACGTCACGAATTCCTAAAACTCAAGTAATCCAGAAACTTCAGGAACTTGGAAACCCCAGAAGACTTAGGAAATTAAGAACTTGAGAAACTTGACGATTTAGGGAATACTCAGGATTTTTTTAAATTCCCAAAATTTAAATTTCAGAAGATTCTGGAAATGCTTTGAAAAATTTGAGAAATCCAGAAATTCTCAAAAAAAACTTAAAATTGAATATTCGCAAAATTTAGAATTAAAAATATAAATTCAGAAGCTAGCTCGATTTTCAAATTTTTCAAGGAAAAATATTCGACTTGTCCCGGAGCCAATCCGAAATCATAGATATGGAAGTTTTGAGTGTTTGACAAATTTAAAAAAAAGTTAAACATTATTCTGAAATCCCCATTTGAAACAAAGACTTTTATTTTCAGAACATTTATGAGAATTTCAGGACAGTGAATTTTTTAAATGTTTCCGAAAATTTTCAGACTCGGCTTCCGCCTATTCAACTTGGAACCGAATCCAACGTGTCCCATCTGTTGTGAATATTCATTTATCAACGAAATGTGCATGTATCGTTATCAAGTCACCCCATTGGCCATTTTAATTCCTTAATCATTTTTTTTATTTGAAAAAAATCAATTTTGCTATCCAAGTTATAAAAAATCGAATTTCAAATGAAACTTTCAAAATCAATATTTTTATTGGCTAGCCAAAATCTCTGAAAAACCAAGAATTTTCAGAAAACGATGCCAAAATCCCATTCATTCAGTTAAATACAAAATTGTAAAATTTATATACCGTTGGGGTGGCTGGGAAAGGTTAAAAATTATGTACAATCAAAGTGCGAATAGAAATTAGGGTATGGAGGGTAATTAGCACCTAATTAGTGAGCAATTATCCAAAGCGCAATTAGAGAGGAGCAAAGAGTTGCAGTTGTGTGGTGAAGACTGATGGAACCATTGTCCTTATCGTCATCTCTGGAAAATTTGCATTAGTGTGTAATTAAGGGTGATTAGGGGGCAATTAGTGGTCAAAATTCTGAAAATGAAAAAAAATTAAATTTCAGAGTTATTACTCTTGTTCGAAATCAATGCACGTTGCGGCCGAGAAAACAACGGTGGGCGGAGCTTAGCTCCCACAGAGAGAACCTTACTGCATTTTTCAAATTATTGCACGCGCCTTTAATACAGTGCCTCAACATTTATTGAATTTTTGCCTTTTTCTTTTATTTTTTCGCTTGTTTCTGTCTAATTTTGTGTAATTCTTATAAATCTTTAATTTATTTTTCTTATTAAATAGAAAAAAACAGCCAAATAGGGCCCAAAATAAAAAACGTCCGAGGTACGGTATTTAAAGGCGCATGCATCCATTTGTTGTTTTCGCTGTGCGACCGACGATGCGATTTTGAGTGAATTTTTGTCCGCAACGTGCAATCATTTAGGACGAGAGTAATAATTAGTTCGGACTAATTAGGACTAATTACTGAAACAATCACCCATTATCTTTTTTGTCATAGTAGTCGTCGTCGTCCTCATCTGAATCCTTCTTTTTTCGGTTTTCTTTTTTCGTCGTTTTCTTTTTTGGCTTTTCTTCCTCTTTTTCATCGTTGTCTTCAGAATTGCCACGTCGAGATGTTGGACGTCTTCTTTTCTGAAAATTTTTTTTGGAATTTCGGAGACGTCAGATGACCAGAATTTTTGAAGACGTCCACTTTTCTATATTCAGGGTTTCCGAAGACGTCAAAAATTCAAATACAAAGTTTCGACGTCTTCTAAAATTCAGAAACCAAACTCACCGGAACGTCTCCTTCTTCCATCGGATCAAACTCCTCCTCCTCCTCTTCTTCATCCTTCTCATATCTCGACGGACGACCTCTTCTAGATGTTGGCTTCTTCTTCTTACGTGGCGATTCAGAATCCTCCACGTCTTCAGAATTCTCTTCCTCTTCTTCCTCCTTCTTCGGACGTCTTCTGACCTCCTTCTTCTTCTTATTCTCCTCCTCACGTCTTCTAGTACTGTACTTCTTATCCATCAAACCCTCCAAATCATCCGAATCCTCCACGTCATCATTCTCCTCTTCATCGTCATCGTCTCCAGAAATCCGTCTCATTTTTTGTAGAAGATCCGACGTCTTCTTTTTCTCATCTGGAGACAAAAAATCGGAATTTTCAGAATCTCTAAAACGAGCAGCGATTGGGTGTGAGAACACTTGCTCTGATTTAAAAAGAAATTTCGATGTTGGAATCACCAAATCGTCAGAATAGATGCCTTCTGAAACTGAGAAAACGTCGGAATTCTGGAAGTCGTCGGGAAGTTCATTGGCAAGGAAAGCGCAGACGAATGAGGTGGCGGATCGTTGACGAACGTAGGGAGCCATGTGCTGGAAGAATTATTTGCGTTGGGGCGAATTTGGAAAAAAACAGGAATATTGAATTTTTTGGAAAACGCATTCTCTCAAAAAAATAGCAACCGGAACTGTTAAACTGCAAAAGTTCAAACTTCCCGCCTAATCTTACCTCTGTAATGTGAATCGGGTCTCCTCTGTAGGCGTATCCTCGAATACGTTGCCGTTGATGAGGAATACAGATGAGATATTCTGACAGAAGCGGAGACGGCAAATCTTTCACAGTCATGGCTACATAATCCATCGGATCGATGACGTCATTCAGATGAACATCCAGATTTCCTTGAGCATCGAAACGGAAAAACACATGGCAATTTGTGTCGGGTTGGCAGTTGGCGGGTAGTCCGTAGCAGGCGTTTGGTTGGGAGCAATCAGTGGAGGCGTCGATTAGAAGGAAGAGAAGAGGAAAGAGGAAAATGAACATTTTCGGCATTTTTACCTAAAAAAATTAATTTTACCTTTTGAGAAAAATGTTACATTTTCAGGAAAAACGATTTTTTCTAATAGGATCATCCTTTATGCCCTTTGAGCTTAATTACCTCGGTTCCCATAAGAGATATCACAATTTTGTCAACTAAAGAAATATTCATCTTTCTATCAGCTACATTTTATCAGTCAACATGTTTTTGATATCTCTTACAGAAATCGAGATAATTGTGCTCAAAGGGCATGTACAGGGTGGGATAAATGTTGTAAAAATCTTTGAAAAAAAAAGTAGAAATCGGAAAATCGTAAAAAATAATTGGAAAACAACAAAACAATGAGGCAAAGTTAGCATCTGGAAAATTTAAAATTCGCGCCGGTAGATCAAAAAATTTGAAAAATTAAAAATATAATTTTTCGAACAAAACACATTTTTTAAAATTTTTTTTGATCTACCCGCGCAATTTTTCTAATTTCCCAGAAAAATCAACAAAACAACAACCGAATGCAATTTCGACTCACTTTTTCTCTTTTTTTCGATTTTTTCTTTTTAAATTTGGTTTTTCAACCCGTACTTGTTACCGTATTTGCTCCAACAAACCCTATGTGCGCAATCTATACGTACTTTGAGCTCAATTATCTCGGTTTCTGTAAGAGATAACAGAAACTTGTCATCTGGTTAAATGTAGCTGATAAAATGATAAATATTTTATCAGTTGATAAATTTTTGATATCTTTCATGGGAACCGAGATAATTCAGCATGAGTACATGGATAGGATAGGCTTCTTTTAAAGCAAAGTACGCCCTCCAAACAGTCAACTTTGAGACCAAATTTCTCACTTCCTTTAGAAGATATCAAAAATAAGCCAATTAATGAAATGTAGCTGATAAAATGATGAGCATTTCATCAGTGGACAAAATTTTGATATCTTTTATAGGAACCGAGATTATTGAGCTCAAAGGGCACATATGATGATTCTATCGGAAAAAATCGTTTTTTTTTCTGAAAATCTAACATTTTTCTGAAAATGTAAAATCAACTTTTTTCAGGTAAAAATGCCGAAAATGTTCATTTTCCTCTTTCCTCTTCTCTTCCTTCTAATCGACGCCTCCACTGATTGCTCCCAACCAAATGCCTGCTACGGACTACCCGCCAACTGCCAACCCGACACAAATTGCCACGTGTTTTTCCGTTTCGATACTCAAGGAAATCTGGATGTTCATCTGAATGAAGTCATCGATCGGATGGCTTATGTGGCCGTGACCGTGAAGGAATTGCCGGACCTTCGGTCAGAATATCTCATCTGTCTTCCTGCGCAACAACGACGTCTTCGTGGAGTCGCTGGGAGTGGAGAGCCGATTCAGATTACTGAAGAGGTAAGGGGAAAGCGCGCTCTATTGAACAATGCTAGAAGTTGGCAGGATTTCAGCCAAAAAACACTCAAAATTCAATTTTCCCGCTTTCCAAATTTGCCTCAACGCAAACACCTTTTTCCAGCACATGGCTCGCTACGTCCGTCAACTCTCCGCCACCTCATTCGTCTGCTCCTTCCTTGCCACTGAACTTCCCGACGGCTTCCAGAATTCTGACGGCTTCTCAGTTTCAGAAGGCATCTATTCTGACGATTTGGTGATTCCATCTTCTGAATCTCTTCAGAAATCATCGGACGACATCTTCTCACACCCCATCGCCTCTCGTTTTAGAGATTCTGAAGACTTTTTGTCTCCAGATGAGAAAAAGAAGACGTCGGATCTACTGGGAAAAATGAGACGGATTTCTGGAGACGATGACGATGATCTAGAAGCGCTTCTAGAAGAGGAGAATGATGACGTGGAGGATTCGGATGATTTGGAGGGTATGATGGATAAGAAGTACAGTACTAGAAGACGTGAGGAGGAGAATAAGAAGAAGAAGGAGGTCAGAAGACGTCCGAAGAAGGAGGAAGAAGAGGAAGAGAATTCTGAAGACGTGGAGGATTCTGAATCGCCACGTAAGAAGAAGAAGCCAACATCTAGAAGAGGTCGTCCGTCGAGATATGAGAAGGATGAAGAAGAGGAGGAGGAGGAGTTTGATCCGATGGAAGAAGGAGACGTTCCGGTGAGTTTGGTTTCTGAATTTTAGAAGACGTCGAAATTCTGAATTTAAAGCTGTGGCGCCTTCTGGAATTCAGAATTTTTCACGTTTTCTAAGATTCTGTATTTAGAAAAGGACCTTCTGAAATTCAGAAATTGAGAACTGTGACATTTCCAAAAGTCAGAAGACCGTTTTCTGTAACCCAGAGTCTGAAAATTTGAAGTTTTCTGAAGTTTAGAAGACGTCCCTTTTTCTGAAACTCAAAATTGAATTCGAAAAGTTGACGTTTTTTGAAACCCTGAATATGAAATAGTGCACGTCTTCAAAGATTCTTGTGATTTTGACGTCTTCTGAGATTCAAAACTTTTTCAGAAAAGAAGACGTCCGACATCTCGACGTGGCAAGTCTGATGACAACGATGAGGAAGAGGAAGAAGAAAAGCCAAAAAAGAAGACGATGAAAAAGGAAAACCGGAAAAAGAAGGATTCAGATGAAGACGACGACGATAATGGGTAATTATTGGTTTTCATTACCCTAACTAATTATCTAAACTTTTTTTTTTGGAATTTTTGATCACTGATTACCTCCTAATTACCCCTAATTACCCACTAATTGAAAAAAAATTTTCAGAGATGACGGTGAGGACAATGGTTCCATCAGCCTTCACCGCGCAACGGGAACTTTTTGCTTCTCTCTAATTGCACTTTGGATAATTGCTCATTAATTAGACACTAATTACCCCCTACACCCCAATTTCTATTCGCACTTTGATTGTACATAATTTTAAGCCTTTTCCAGCCACCCCAACTGTATATAAATTTTGAAATTTTGTATCTAACTAAATGAATGGGAATTTGGCATAAGTGTTTTAGCTGGAAGAGTTTTGGGTTTCTAGGCCATCTTAGCAATGGCCTAGAAAAAAAAACCATGGCCTAGAATCCCAAATCCTCAAGTTCGTTAGCCATTTAGTGACGTATGCCAGACAAAACGAGGTGAAAACATTCAATGAAAAAAATAATAAAATCTAGAAAAACAAAATTTCCCTGGAGGACGGTATTACACGAGGCAGACAACTTCAAATTTTCAGCTATACTACTTTTTTGGCTGAAATTCTTTTTTTTCGAGTTTCAGAATTCTAGAAATTTCTATAGAAACTTTTTTTCGGTTTTTCAAAGTTTTTGAATTGGAGAACTTTTTGACAATTTTGTTAACCGATTTTTTTCGTCATCCTGAACTTTTGAAGCCTTTTTTTGAATTTTAGAAATTCTGAAAATTTCCAGAAACTTCCAGAAAAATGCACCTTCTCGATTTCGCCTTCTCCAACGCCAACGTCTCCACTGTTACGATGTGGCTTGAAGTGACACGTGTCGCTGATTTCATGACATTTATCATGTCGACATTCATCAATGGTGTGCTTCTGAATCTCATCAGCACGGCGTCACCAAAGCACTTCGGGAATTATGTGTACCTAATGATGTCATTCTCTATTAACAGCTTGGTTTTTGCCGCGATTCATGCGTTTATACAACCGGTGGGTTACTGTAGGGCTACGGTATTCTGTTATGAACTCTGTAAAAAGAAAACAGAAGAATTTGGAGCTAGCTAGACTCAAACCCGCATCATGTGGGCAAAACCGTAGCTCACTAGCCACTAAACCACGGCTGACCATAGAGAGCGTGGTAGAAATGACGTATACACATTAGCGGCTTTTCCTTCTCCTTCCAGCCTCTTTATCCTGCAGCTTCTACAAATGAGTTGTGCAACTGAGGAACGTCTTCAGAAGACTTCTGAATCATAATTAAAAAAGGCATCAACTAATCAATAGAAATCTGTCTATCCAGAAGCATATATCCAGGTTTCAACTCAATCGGAAAACTTTGAATAGCCCAAAATTCATCAAAATAGGAATATTAGGTTCTTGAAATATAAAATGTAATGCGGAATTGGAAACGGCCATTTTTCATTAAATTGAAATTAAAAAATAGAGCTTGAAAACGCTTCAAAATGATATTAAAATTCAACTAACTTGATACGTCTAGGCTTTCCGTGGGGAGACTACAGTAAGATTATTTGGCTCCAATAGTTCCAAGCTTTATAAATCTGCTCAAACGGTATATTTTGAGCTAAACTAAAAACTAAGTTGTAGGATGTGAAAAGAGCTACAAGAAAATATAAGATGTAATCAAGTTTTCTGAGTCTCGGGTAACAGTAGAAACTACTGAACAGCTATGTCAGAAAAGCTTTGATACGCAGTTTGCTCAAAGGCTGGTAACTTGCTTCTAGCTCTACATTTTTCAATGAAATAAATTGCAAATTGTAGCATTTAAAAAGTGCTACAAAACAATATAAAATTTGTGTGAGTTACTAAGTCTGAGGTTACTGTAGGAGCTGCTGAACAGTGATGTCCGAAGAACTATGGGATACAGGTTCTTTAAAACCTTGTAAATCACCTCAAACATGATATTTTTGACTGACACAAAGTTCAAATTGTAGGATTTGAAAAGGGCTACAAAAGAATATAAAATTTGACGGACTTGGTATGTAAACAACTCCTTCAGGATACGTTGAACAACAATGTTATTTTTTTAGATAATCTCAACGGAGAAGTATGTTCTATTTGTGTTCACATCTACCAATTATCTTGAATTGCCACGTATTGTCATGCGCTTTTTGTTGTGTAAGTTAGACATAGGTTCTTCAGAATTTGAAAACTCTGTTTTCAGCGGTATACGGTACTAGCTACAGCCAAGCCTTGACCCTAATTGCTGTGCAGTTTGTCTATCGTTGCTTTTCAATCAGCCGTCGTAAATATTTGGTTTATTTTAAGGGAAGACACTTATGGTTTTGGTATGCCTTCGTTGGTATTTTCGGTCTTAACTGGGGACTTTGTGTGTTTTTCATCGCCAAGGAGACTCCGGAAGTTTCTGAGATTTTGAGGTAAACATATTGGGTTCATTAGAGCGTGTTTGCATCAATTAAGTGACTGAGTAGCTCAACAATTACTGTAGTCATGTGCCCTTTCGCTATTGGAGCGTATTTGTAATACATTAACTAAAATGGCTTTTTGAAAGGTTTTTTTTTCAGTTTCAAAGAGTTCTGAAAGTCGAAGGACTTTTTTTTCAATAATCCCATAATTTGAAATTTTCAGTTAAATATAATAAACTTTAAAATCCTACAAAAGTAATCCAGAATTTCCCAATTTGCCTGAAAATTTCTGAGTACACTGAATAAAAATAGAGCTTCAATTTTGTAGTTGACAACTTTTTCCTAGCTACCGTACTTTTGGAGACAAGCGCCTTTAAACAGAGCTAGTTTCTACTTTTGTCAGGCACGCTCTGTTTAAAGGAGCATATCTCAGAAACTACGGTAGTTAGAAAAAAGTTGTAAACTACAAAATTGAAGGTCTAATTTTGGTTAGTATACTCTGGAATTTTCAGAAAAATTGAAAAAAAAATGAAAATATGATATTTTACTGCATTTAACTTTCTCAAAAAATTGTGATTTTCTTAAAATTCAAACTGGACTGCGTAGCTCAAAACTTTTCCAGACCAATAATGGCTTCAAGTTTTGATCTAAACGTCTCCGATATCTACTACGTCGCTGCCAGCTACGTCATCGAAGATCCATCAGGCAAACAGTCTCTAAACTTGCCTGTTATATTTATGGTCCTCAATTTTGCATTGATTTTGGTAGGTTTAATTCAATTTATCTGGCTTTCCATTACAGATATAAAAAAAAATTTGACTGATTAAATATTTTTGATAATTTGATAAACGTTTCATTAGTTGACAAAATTTCGATATCTCTAATAGGATGCGAGATAAGTTGGCCTATTCTTTATTGGCCTATTCTTGGTAGGTTGTTAGGTTTGAGCCAATTTACCTCGCTTCCTATTACATATATCAAAAAAATGGTAAACTGATGAAAGGTTGCTGATATTATGATAAAAATTTTTCTAGTTAACAAATTTTTGATATCTCTTACAAGAATCTAGATAAATTGGCTCAAACTTCACCAGGGCTTCTCCTTCTCGGTCATCCTCTTCTGCTTCTGTTTCATTCACTACAAAATGCAACGTGTCACCTACTCGAAAATCTACGAAACCGTTCAAAAACAGCTGTTCCGTGCTCTAATGTCTCAAATGATTATCCCATTGGTCCTTATCTATGTCCCAATCATCGTTGTGCTGATTTTACCAATTTTTCATGTCAAAAATTCCGCTGCTGTGTCCCTAACATCAATTTTAATCTCGTTTTACCCAGTTTTGGACCCGTTTGCCGTGATTATGATCATCTCTGTGTATCGTCAGGGATTCTTCAACATGTTTACGAATAAGCCCAAAGTTAATCAGATTGCTAATTTGGAAATGAGCGGTTGATTACTGGCGGAAGTTTTAATTTTTTCAGTTTCAACGAATGCTCAATTCTCAACAATTAACCACTAATTATACGATGTCATCAATTGCTATGAACTTTCAACTAATGCCTTGATTATTTCCATAAATCAATCTCATTTTTTTTCTGTTTCAATAAAGTTTCAAACCAATTTAGTGTGATTAATGATCATTGGAATAGGAAATTCAGGCAAAATTTTAAAACAACAAATCAATTTCAAATTTCAATTTTTTTTTATTCCGAAAATAATTAAATTTTAACCTTTTCAGTGAAAAACATCCAATTTTGAATACCTGAATAACCATTCCAGATTTTTTCACTTTCTCTGGGAATTTTCTTGTATAGAAAAATAGAGTTTCATTTTTATAATGAACAGTTTTTTGGTGCAAAATCATCCAAATGAAATATGTCTGAAAATTTCAGATTATACAAAAAAATCTGAATAAAAACAACAAAGTATGTTTCAAAAACTACATATGACTTTGTTCCTGTAAACTATGCTTCAGTAGAGTTTTCGATGGATCTAACATGCATAATTTTTGAAAACTTTAAAATTGAAAAAAATATATTGGTCCTGGGATACTAACAAGAAATTTGCAACTTTCCAAAAAAAACGCAAACTAAGTACATAAAAAATTTCTGCTTCAAAAATATTATATTTTTGGAACAATAAATTTGGAATTATTACTTTTTTATTACTCTTGTCCGAAATCAATGCACGTTGCGGCCGAGAAAACAACGGTGGGCGGAGCTTAGCTCCCACAGAGAGAACCTTACTGCATTTTTCAAATTATTGCACGCGCCTTTAATAGAGTACCTCAACATTTATCGAATTTTCTCAAATTTCTCTCATTTTTTCGCTTGTTTCTGTCTAATTTTGTGTAATTCTTATAAATCTTCAATTTATTTTTCTTATAAAATAGAAAAAAACAGCCAAATAGGGCCCAAAATAAAAAAGCCCGAGGTACGGTATTTAAAGGCGCATGCATCAATTTGTTTTTTTCGCTGTGCGACCGACGATGCGATTTTGAGTAAATTTTCGGCCGCAACGTGCATTGATTTCGGACGAGAGTAATATCAAAAATGCAGTCATTCTTAAGTTGGTTATATCTCAAATTATTTATTCTTTTAATTAAATTTTTAAATCTTAACTTTTTCAAAATTAGATTCCCAAGTTTGCAGCAATTTTTTCTCATAGTTTCTGAATGAAAATTTTGAAGTTTTAATAGAATTTTTTTGAAGTTTCATTTTTCTATTACTAATCTTCTGATTTTGTTTCGCTTTGACACACTAACTAATCTTTTTTAAGTTAATTTATATTTTCGAAAAAAAAAACGAAGAAAAAAAAACAATTTTTTTCTGGCTTAAAAAAACAGGAAAAAATTGTTTTAAGATTCAAAAAATTAGAAAAAATCAGTTTCAATTTTGTTACTGTTTTCCAATTTTTTCTTCAATTTTTTTAATTTTTAGACATTTGTTTCTTCGCAACTGAAGTTAGTGCTCTCTAAAATTTCACACTTTCTCGAATTTTCCGAAGTGGCAATCATTTTCATGTTTCCGATTTATAAATTTTGCCATTCAACGAATGTAGTGCCTGATTTTCAAACTTTGTTTTTTTTTGCGATTTTCTAATTTCTATTTTCTTTTTTAAATAATTGAGGAATTTTGACTAGACCTCCAGACACTCTAATTATTCATGAGTAACATCATAATACAAACCAAAATGAAAAATTTCGAGATTAAAATTTTTAGGCGTTTCAAAAATATGATATTCTTAAAAAAAGAATCCATAGCTTAATTGGACCTCTGTTTTCATTATTTAAAAAAAAATCCCCACTACCGTAGATTTCCGCAAACACCAGCTCGTCAGAATGCAAAGCATCCAAACTACAGTACCCATTTTCCTACTGTAACTAGTTTGTACATCAAAAAAATATCGTCAAAGATCTCTGATCCTTAAAAACATATAAACTCCCAAATGACCTCCTAATGACGCATTTCATATATTCTCCTGGCTTTGAGCATTCTCGATAAACAAAAAATAGTGATAAAATTCCCCCTTTACACCCTCTAATTGCTGTTTTTCACTTCTTCCCAAACGGTGACGTCTTCCTCTTCTCGTCAAGCTCCGCCCACTTTTCAGGGGTAGTGCTCGCTCAATCTAGGTCAATTCACTCATTTGTTCTGGTTCTGAAAGGCTATCTTAAGCTGATTTGAGTTATATTAAGCTATCTAGAGGTCTAGAACCTTTTAAAACCTTCTAGATTTCTTTCCAAGCTTAAAGACCGCTGTTTGAAGTTAGCCGGAGCTCTAAAACCTTCTAGATCCTTCCAGAATATTCTAGACTTTTCAAGAACCTTCCAGAACGCGCCCTAAACTTCTATACCTCTCAAACCTACAAGAACATTCTCAATTCTTCCCGAACTTTCCAGGTCCACCATGTTGGTTGCCTTGGTGGAGATCACCGCCTGGGTGAACGTAGTCGCATTCTTTGCAATGCTGTTCACCAATGCCGAACTCGTCAAGCTCATCTTCTCCGACGCATCCAGAAACTTCGGAAACTACACTGTCTTGATGATGGCTAATGTGGCAAATCTGGTCGTTTTCTCGTGTCTTCAGATGATTTTGAATCCGGTAAGTTCTGAAAAAGAGGTCTTATAGTTCATCTATCAGTCAACATATCTGATATCTAGGCGGTTTCAACTAGTTCATTAATGGACTATGAGCACCTAGATCATACTAGCAGCGACCTTCAATCTAGATCAAACGACATACATAAATAAACCTAAACCAGAAAATTTACCCGTTTCAGAATGTTGTCTCTGAGGTAATGACCTTTAATTCGCGACCGCGTAGCTCAAGCTTCAAAATGTTCCACATTCTTTTGTGTGAACGTGGATATTGTTTGTTCTGCGATCCATACACACTCCTGGGATTTTAGCGATTAGATTGCGATAGTGTAAAACTTTGAGAAATTTGTAAGATTAATGTTCTGAACAATGAACCTCTTGAGTTAGCCAAGACAACGGGGTAGCTCAAGAGCTTCAACTCTTACGGAGTATCGTTGATATCAATGTTATTTTTTCCAGTTTCATTAGACACACAAATTACAATGAGCAGTTTGATAGACATTCTTGAGGGCATATACAGTACCGGTCAATAAAATACAAAAAAAGTATTTTTCAGTAAATTTTTGTACCATTTTCAGGAGCTCAGCTATCAAGATTCCTATCACTTTGAAAACTTTGGAGGGTGTAAAACAAAAATCCGTCGAAGTTCACTATTTTTTCTGTTTCGCGAACTTTCCTTCAAAGCTTAGAACATTGTCAGCCAGTTTCAAAGTTGCATTGTTTTGATACATTTCCATAAAACTCCATTTCAATTGTTTGTTGTGCGGTTGATACGGACTTTTGGGATTTCAAATATTCTGTCATTCTTATTTTTGCAGTTTCATTAAGCCTACATTCCAGTTTCATTATCATGAGAAAATCAGTTTCAATGAGTTACTTCGTAAGTTGTTGTGTCCGATACATTTTCATAAAAAATCCGTTTTCAAAAAGAGTGATACGTGGGCTTATCTGAGCTACGCGGTCGACAAGCCACCTTGTATGTCGGAAACAGAGCAACTGCTTTCTGGTTCGGGTACTTTTGAGATGAATGGATTCGAAGGTCATAGAAAAACGGAAAGTTTGGTCCACAATTACTTGGCAAATACTCACTTGCTATAGGATCATTTGCTATTTTCCCATTTGCTTTGAAAGCTCATTTGCTATAATATCACTTGCTATGGACCTTTTGCTATTTTAGCTCATTTGCTACAGATCATTTGCTATGGGGTTTCAGAAATGTTTCATGGATGAGGTCATGATAACCGTTTTTATTTGTTTACAGGCTCAGGCTTAAACATAGTTTTTTCCAAAACATTTTGCCTAAGCCTATAGTGTCAAATAAATATAGCAAATGATCTGTAGCAAATGAGCTAAAATAGTAGAAGATCCATAGCAAGTGATAGTATAGCAAAAGAGCTTTCAAAGCAAATGGGAAAATAGCAAATGATCTTATAGCAAGTCAGTATTTGCCCAATTACTTTCCCGGACCACGGCTGGCCGCGGCCTTAATTCTTGACAGCACTGACCTTTAAGCTATACAGTCTCCCTCAGCATCGGACCAACTCTAATCCCTTCCAGATCATCTCCATCGAACGAAATGTGCTCTACGTCTTCTCCACCATCAAGCCTCAATTCATGTCCAAAACCGCCGTCCGCGTCCTCCTCGCCCTCTACGGAATGACCTATTGCATGGCACTTCTACTCTGTGCCGTCAAATTCGTGTTCCGCTATGATCGCGTCTGTCGGTGAGCTCTTTGAAATTCGTTAGATCGAAAAACCAAGTTTTAACTTCCTGTTATTTGTACTCCCTTGTGAGTATGGCTCTAGCTTGAGCTCTTTGTTGTTCTGATCAAAAAATTTGTATTCTGGGCAATTATAGGGGATGATCTGTCAAGTAAGCAAAGATCTCCAAGAACTTGATTTTAGTGATTTTTGATTCGAGCGAAGGTGTTCAAAAGCTTACAATTAGTTAGCTATGAAAATGTGTAGTTAGCTATTACAAAGTTTAGATAGCCTACTTATGACTTACGTAACTTAACTGTAGTCTATGTAGTCTCTACCTATGACAAATGCGATCGACTTAAAGGACCATACTGCCTGAGATGGCCTACCAATGATTATGGGACCCCTTACCTATGGCTAATGAGGTTCTGACCTTAAACCTAAATCTTTCCAGCTGCGGGAAACTCTTCCGTCTCAAGAAGCACCTTGTCGCCTGGTTCTCATTCATCCTCCTTGCCGGACTTTTCTGGGGAGCGTGCATCTTTCAAATCGCCCGAGAGACCCCATACGTCGATGACATCATTCGTGGGCCATTGCTCATCAATTATAATGTCTCTCTGGAGAACACCACCTACACAGCTGCGGTTTACGAGGTTAACGATCCGATCACTGGGCGATGTGAATGGAATCAATCGGGGATTGTCATGGGTGTGTCGTTTGTGCTGATCATTGTTTCGGTTATGGTCACCATGGTGTTTTGCATTTCGAAGCTGTCAAAGACGTTGAGAGAGTTAGTTGACGGAGTTAATGCAGATGGTGACAAGAAGGATGCTGAAAAGACCAAGGTTCAAAGAGAGTTGTTCAGCGCTCAACGCATTCAGGTGAGATTTAGTAAACTGTTTTGACAGTTTTAAAGTGGGAGGTGTAGGTTTTAAGAAGAGCTATGAAATAAAGAAAAAAATTCTGAAAAATTGATGTTAGTGTCTTTGTGTAGTCATACATCAGAAAGGACGGTTTTGAAATTTTTGAAATAAAAGTTCTGAAACATATTTTTTCAGTCCGTCTTCCCATTCATCTTCATCTGCGTTCCAATCGTTTCTGTCTTGGTCCTCCCGATCTTTCGTATCAATGGAAATATTGGAATCTCTTTGTCCTCCATTATGGTCTCCGTCTATCCAGTCATCGATCCGATCGTCCTCATCTTCTCCATCACTCCATTCCGGAATGCTGTGTTTGGAAGACAACACAATTATAATGGAATGGCTTAAGTTTCTCAATAGGGCGAAGTTGCTATTCTCATTGGAGCATGTTTGCATTTCTTCTTTCGATTCACATAAATGGATAATTGACATCTATAACGCGCGCTAATGTAGATTTTTCTTTCACAAATTTAACTTTTTTCCTCGATTTTTCTTTCCAAAATCATTTTATGTATCCCCATTCCCTCTCGCCTAGCTCCGAAATTTCTGTTCTGTTTCTCATTGTAGCACATTTGCTACTTTCCCAATCCCTCATTATCCCATTACCTGAAACTTTTCCCTCTTTCACTGCAACTTCGCCCTGTTGACAATAAAATTTAAAACAAAGTTTTTCTCATAGACCAAAGAAGAATTAACAGATCGAGGAAAATTACAAGTTATTTGAGCTTTCTGAAAAGGTATTTTTTTCTGGATTACTGTACTATCAGAAAATTATTTTTTCAGTAAAGCAAGAAACACATTTTACAACTTTCTAGAAAGCGAAGAATTGTACAATTCTAGAAAAAAAGACCGAATGTTTGAAAACACAGAAACGGGAATTTGATTTCTGGAATGTTGGGAAAAAATAAAATTTTACAGGATTTTTTGAACCATTATCTTTTATTCACAGTTTCATTGCTCATTTTACATTCATGAAAATAAGGAAACTGGAAAATTTTTTAAGTTCTTTTGCACACTCACTAGCCAAATTATTGCCGAAATAAAAATATAAACAATGTGAAACTGAAAACTTTCGAAAAAAAAATTACGGAATTACTGTACCTCGATTTTTGAATTACACAATCTTCCGGAGTGTTTGATTTTCGAACTTCAGAATTACAGGATTGCCGAATTCATTATTTATTTAAAGGAGGGGAGACATGAAAAAAATAATGTTCTCGAAATTTCGTTCAAAGATGCCCCTCGAGGAGTTGAACTTGTGAGGGCGATGATTGAGGGTGCGGCGCCGCTACCGACTGAGCCACGCGGGCAAAGAGAAAGCGGACGCCCGATTGCATACATAAAGGCGAGGACGACAGCTGTACGCAGAATGACATTAAGCGTTGTACACCGTGACGGTAGAATGCATACTCTAGCTACAAAAAAACTACGAAAAATCTCCTGTCCCCCCACCTTTAATATCAAAATTAAAAAAAATAAGTCTGAAGATTTTAAAGAGATTGCCTATTTTGAGAAAAAATAATCTATTTGAAAAATGTGAAGCTGAAAATTTTTGAAAAAAAATTACGGAATTAGTGCACCTCGACTTTTTAAATATGCTTTTTTTTGAAATCGCCGACTTTCTGAACTTCAGAATCAAAGGATTTTCAAATTTCTGAAGGAATTTCCAAAATTAAGAAATTAGAAATTCACCATTTATCATTAAAATGTCTAATGTGAAACAGTATTTGAGCTTCTTAAATTGGGATTAGTGTACTTTCAGAATATTTGTTCTAATAAAATGAAAAAATTCAGTGTATTATTAAATAGAAAGCCATTAAGGTATTAAAAACAGATCGGATATCTGAAAACTCAAAAACGGGATTTTGCTTCCTGAAAATTGGGAAAAATAATTTCACTTGATATTCTCTTATTCTCTGGAAACTTCTGATTTTTTTTTGAATTTCTTATCAGCAAATGTATTGTCAGTTGTAGGAAAAGTTAATACATTTAAGAAATGTGAAACTGAAACATTTGAGAAAAAATAATATTCGGATTTTTTGAGCATCGGAACTTCCGGATTTTAGAAGAGAGATTTGAATTTCCAAAATTTGAAAATATACACATTTTTCAGACCTATATTAGTAATTAAGATTTTCAGAACTTCCAGCATGCGTTCAGAACAAATGCGAAACAGGAAAAATTATAAATTCTCCTAAAATTTTGTCCGCATCAACTAGCTACTGATAACAATTTAATGAGACACTGATAACGAAAGCTTTTCCAAAATTTCTGCTGAAAAGCCCTGAATAGTTTTTCTCCCAGAACTTTTTTTCAAAGAAACATTTTTTCTGAATTTTCTGAAATGTTGTCCCAAATTTCGATAGAAGAAATGCGTGCTGCTCATCAAAGAACGTCCAGTTATTTACATAAAACTCCAATAATGTCATCTGAAAAAATCGATAGAATCGTCGGTGTTCCAGTTTTATTCAAAGCTGAGCATTTACAAAAAACTGGAAGTTTTAAAGTTCGAGGAGCGTTGAATTCGGCGATTTTGGCGAAAGAGGAAAATGCGAAAGGAGTGGTAAGTAGATAGAACATTAGATTTTAAAAATTGAAAAAAGAAACTGAAACACTGAAAACTTGAATTTTTAGATTTTGAAGTTTTCTGTATTCTGAAAATTTCAAGAATTAGAAAAAATGAATGAAATTCCGAAGCTTACGGCTTTCGACTCTTAATATCAGATTTTCGAAATTTTGATGTACAATTTTAACATGATGGATTCCAAAATTATCAGAAAAATTTAAAGGAGGCGAGACAGCAAAAATTTCGGGGGACAGTTCGGGGGAAGAAATCGCGCCGCGCTTATGTAGACCATCGGTCGTCAGGCGCCTTCGCGCCCCCGTAGCTCAGCCGGTAGAGGTGATGTATCCCTGAGCTGCCTGTCATGAGTTCAACCCCTCATGGGGGTTCTCTATGCAAAATATCAGGACAACTTTTTTTTTGGTGTCCTCCTTTAAGGAATTCGAAAATGTTGAAAACTGTTTTTTTTCTTCTAAAAAATTCCGACACTCTTTGGTATATTCTGGAAAATTAATATTTTAAAAATCCGAAATTTGAAAATTTTTGGTTTTATAAGCTCTAAATTTCAGACGTTCTTTTGGATTCAGTAATACTAGGCGATTTAAAAATATAAAAATCACAATTCAAAAAATTCCAATAAACTCAAAAATTGGAACCGTTCGGAAGTTCCGAGAATTCCAAAAAACTTTAAAAAGAGATTTTTGATAGATTTTTAAATTTCGAAAATAATAAAAAATCGAAAAAGTTAAATTTTCAGTTTCAGAAACTCTAAATTTCAGATCACTTCCTAATTTTTATCTAACAGTAATTGTAAGTAATTGTGAGATGCACGCTCTCCCACAGAACACTTCCGAACTGCAAATTAATTTTTGATCTACATAAAAAAGTTTGGCGCGATCACAATTGCAGGTCTAAAACCATAATTTCAGAATTTTTTATCTGATTTTGTGGAATTCCAAGATGATTCAACTGATTCTTAAAAAAATTAATTAGTGGTAATAGAATCCTGTATGGTCCTTTTCCAGAAGAAAATATTCCAAAAATGACCAATTTCCATAGTTTCTTACAGAAAAAATCTATATCCTCTTTCAGTTTTTGACGTTTCTAAGAGTTCTATAGCTCAAAAAACCGCAATTTTTTTCTCTACATTTTCTATGGATGAATTTTCAATTTGTCTGATAAAACTTTTTTTATAATCAAAAAACAACGCAAAAATGCTATTTTGTGCAATTTCATGAGGTTTTTGAATAATAATAAAAAGTTTTATCAGACAAATTAAAAATTCATCCATAGAAACGTAGAGAAAATAAATGCGGTTTTTTAGAGCTATAGAACTCCTAGAAATGTCAAAAACTGAAAGAGGAGATAGATTTTTTCTGTAAAAAACTTTCAAAATGACAATTTTTGACATTTTTTTCTTCCGGAAAACGACCATACATGAATCTATAACCACTAATTATTTTTAAAAGATCATTTGAATCATCTTGGAACTCCACAAAAGCAGATAAAAATTCTGAAATTATGGTTTTAGACCTGCAATTGTGATCGCGCCAAACTTTTTTCTGTAGATCAGAAATAATTTTCAGTTCGGAATTGTTCTGTGGGAGAGCGTGAGATGTGAAACTGTTCTAAAAACTTGGGAAAAATTTCAAAAATTAAAAATTCAAATCCCAAATAACCAACTCTTAAAATCCAAAATTTCTTGAGTTTACTGAATTTTTCTGCATTTTTAGATGTTTTGAGATTCCCTTAATTTTTAATTCCTGACTTTTTTTGATATTTTTTCTTGGATTTTCAAAATTTCTGGAATTTCTGAATTTCTTAAAATAGAATTAGCTGAAAAAAATTATTTGTGAAGTTTTAATTTTCGACATCGATCTTTCATTATAAAACCAAATTCCGAAAATCTAATATTAAGTGCCTGAAACCGATTTTTTTCAAATTTTGAAATTCATTTTTTTATAATTATTAAACTTTCCCCGTTTCAGTTTTTCTGCATTTTTTTAAAATTTAGTTTTTAACTCAATTTTCCGTTACATTTTAAAAAATAATTTCTTTCCTTTCTCAATTTTTCAGATTGCTCATTCTTCTGGAAACCATGGTCAAGCCCTAGCATGGGCGGCTCAAAAAATCGGTCTTTCCTGTCAAATTGTGGTTCCAAAAAACGCGCCAATTTCAAAAATCGACGGAATGAAAGAATACAAAACTGACCTGGTTTTCTGTGAATCTACAGTAATTGATAGGTAACAACTATTTGGATTTTTTGAAGAAAAATTTAAGAATTTTTAGAGAAAGGGTGTGTGCTGAGCAATCGAAAAAATTAGGATACCATTTTGTGAATCCGTACGATTGTGAATCTATGATTAATGGGCATGTAAGTGGTTTTTTAGATCTAAAAATCTGAAAACTCAAATTTTCAGGCTTCCATTGGATTCGAAATTTTGGACCAAGTCGGTGATCAGATAGATTCCATTTTCGTATCAATTGGCGGAGGAGGCCTTGCCTCTTCCTTCGCTTTTTTGATAGGAAATCTGCGTCCAGATATTTCAGGTACAGTAACCCTAGGGGTGCAGTAATCCTTGAGGGACTGTATTTTGAGAAATACAGTAATCCTAGGAGTACAGTAATCCACAGTAATCCCAGAGGTACAGTAATCTTAGGGGTAGAGTAATCCTAGAGGTAGAGTAATTCCAGGGGTACAATAATCCTAAAATAATTTCAAACTAGAGTAACCCTTCCCTCAAAACTACCAAAGTGTTTTACAGTGATCCTGGTTGAACCTGAATCCAAAAAGCTGTCGAATCTTCTGGAAAACCGTATCCCTTGCCCCGTGGACACCTTGGAAACCATCGCTGATGGCGTTAGGGTTGCTCATGTTGGCACACTCTGTGAGCCAATTTTAAGGGATTACTGTAGCGGAAACGTCGTCAGTGTGGTGAGGCGGGAATTCAAATTTTTTGTGAATTTGAAAACTTGGAATTTCAGAAAGAGGAAGAAATCAAAGAGGCGATGAAGTTGATTTGGACTAGAATGAAGGTTTTTTTGGATTTTTTTTAATTAATAAAAAAACTGAAATTTCAGCAACGAGTCGAGCCTAGTGCCGCACTTGCGTTTGCCGGGGTACTGTACCACAAACCTGCACATCTTACTCGGCCGTTGGTGATTCTGTGTGGTGGAAATGTCGATTTGGATTATGTCATTTAATTTAAGTTTTTTTTCTGCTTCGAAATGTTTTTATTTCTGTTTTTGTGAGAATGAAGTTGTTCATCGGTAGTCGAATTTCAATATTTCTGGACTTTTTATTGTCGAAATTCCGATATTTTCAGGAATTTTTTAATTTCTGAATTTCTTCATCACCAATGCTACGATCCTCTATTTTTTCGATTTTCTAACATCTGAAATCCACGAAACAGATAATTAAAAATTCAGAAAAATTGCGCAAAATTCTTTATTCATATTAAAAAATAAAGAAAAAAAGATTACAAAATTGGAAGAAGTGGTTTTTCAGTGTTAATTCCACACCAATTAACGCCTCTCTTCACTCTCATATATCCCTTTTCTCCCCAAATCTTACTGTAGGTGTTCTTCAAAATCCAATAATCTGGTCCGTATCCAATCACAATTAGAGCATGCGTTGGTTCAGTCTGAAAGTATTTGAATTATGCTTGAGACACTACGAAGCTGGACCAGAATTTTTTCAAATTTTTGAAACAAAGGTACTATTTGAAACAGAAAAATTCTGAAACCTTGGATTTTGAGCTCAGTTATTTCGATTCCTATAAGAGATATAAAAAATCTGTAAACTGATAAAATATTTATCATATTATCAGCTACATTTTATCATTTGATTTCCTTTTTATATCTCTTATAGGAATCGAGATAATTGAGCCCAAACATACCCCACAATCGGGATCCTCCGCAATTCCACTATGATAGAATCTATTCTTGTTGGTCGCAAAGTTGGCACAAACAATCATTGGACCTCCAACAGCCACCATTTCGGCCATCTCCTCCTCACTCTCAGCTTCAGCCCACGTACGAATCTTTGCAACAGTTGGAACATTTTCTCTGCATTTTGTGGACCAAAAGTAGTATGGATAGCTAATAGCATTGGTGACTCCATGGAATTGAGCATAGGAAAGAGCTTCGACCGGCTCACCACCTCCACATTTGTCGGAAACTGGAGTGCAGTCGAGTAGCTGGAATATTGATGAATATATCAACAAGTTAGAAACTTTAAGGCGAATTTGGACAAATCACTTCTTTGAAACGGGGAGTTTTATTACCCGGAAATGGTTCAAAAACTTTGAAACCGCCTATCTCGCTTTATTGAATTCGTACAAAAAAGTTGTCAACTACAAAAATGAAGCTCTATTTTTGTTTAGTATAGTCTGAGGCAAAATTATGGAATACTTTCGTAGGACTTCAAAATAGACATTTTTCCACTAAAAAGTTACCGAGATTAGGATTTACGAGACCCGTCTCTCAAAATCGATACCGTATAAAGCGAAAATAATATTTGTAAACTTAGTGGGATTTTCTAAACCGATGTTTTGTGTAATACGAGTCGTGCACATCGTATATTGAAAATAACAAGTGAATTTTTGAAAAATTAGATCTGAAACAGAATTTTTTTTGAAAAATTATTTGGAGAGTATAATAATAATTTAGAGGTAGTGCAAACCTCTTCTTCGAAAGATCACTCTGGGCTACTGTAGCTGGTGATGCTAAATTTTTGGCGTTGAAGGTCTGTTATAATTAGCATTCTCAAAGTCCTAGGATTACTGTAGTTTCTAGTTCATGGTGTCTCAGATTATAGTAGCCTGTTACTACAGTAATCATATAACTCTGCATATATAGCTCTGCATAACTCTGCATGAGGAAGTGCGTAAACGCCGATTGCCGTACACCTCAACGCAAAAATGCGTACTACAGATCTTCAACGCTGTCACTTAAAAGGATGTATTATTAAACGCTCTGTAAGTTAAAAAATTAACTGTGTCAATGGAACAGTAAATTATATACAACAGAGCACAGTTACCCTCCAATCATTCTCAAAGAATATGCTCAATAGAGCGCACTTACCTGTTGGGAAGACAAACTCGTCAAACCGCCTCCACTAATCGATACCGCCGATTCAATAGCGGCAGCAGTGGCAAACGCCCAGCAGGATCCACATGGTCCCTGATATTTTATTCCAGTCACATGACTTTGTCCATTTCGATTTCTCCAATCTACAGATTCTGGAATTTCCTTTTTGAGCGGGAATTTGAAATTCGAAGATTTCGAGAATTTTTGTGGGCGTGGCTTCATTAGAAATTGCTTCCATTCTTCATCGGAAAGATCAGAAAAATCGTTGAGTTCATATGTAACTTTCCCAGCGCCTTCTTTGTTGTATCTGGAAAAAATTGTTTGGGTTTCCGAAAGTTTTGAAATACAGTTCTTTGCACTTATTAGTGCTTTGCTGTTTGATCCACAGTTTAAATGAATTCTGAAATACAGAAAATGAAGCATTCTCAAGTACTCAAATTTTGTAAATTTTCAGATTTTCGGAATTATCTGGTATTTAAACTTTTGGTTGATTCTGTAATCTTCTCCTAATTGGAAAATTCCATACTTGTAACGGGCCGGGCCGGGCTTTTTCCGGAATTTCGGAGGCCCGGCCCAAGCCCGGCCCGGCAGGCCCGTCATTTCAAAAAACACATAAGGGACCCTTATGTGATTTTTTTCGACCAAAATTTTTTTTTCGAGTTTTTTCGATATTTGTAGAGCAAACAACCAAACAATCCAAAATAACAAAAAAAAATGGAGAAAATTATATTGAGAGCTCAAAATTTCGCTCAAAAATTTTACAAGTATGGAAAATTCTGTAAAAATGATAAAAAATAAACAGGAAATTTACACAAAATGTTCAGTGCTTTAAAAATCGTAAACTCAAATACTTGAAAAAAAATTTCGGTTTCGGATTTCTAAGAATTTTAGATGTTTGAATGCTTCAACATTTCTCAGTGATTTTACTCATACAAAAAAATACAAGAATATGTACTCAGAGTCCGAAAAATTAGAAAATTCCAGAATTCGAAAACTCTGGAAAAATGAAAGTTCTGGAAACCCGAAAGCTTCCGAAAATTCAAAAAAAAATTTCGAAAACTGAAAATTCTAAACTTCAAAAATTTCAGAAAAACAAGAATCTCAGAAGTTCCCAAAAATGTAGAAAATCCAAATGAAAATAAGACACAATTCCAGAAACCTCAGAAATCCAGAAATTGCATTCAGTTCTCAAAAAAAATCCGTTTCGAAAATTTCAGAATTTTGAATTTCAAAGTCTTTACTTGTTTCATCCATTCTTCTTCAAAAAAATTAAAACCATTTCAGAATTCGCAGAATGGCCGAAAAGATAAAAAATTCTGAAAGTTTCAGAATTTCTAGAATGCCAGAAATTCCCAAAATTAAGAAAACATTTAAAAAATTCTCGGTGAGAATCCTAAAAACTAGAAAACGAGAAATCCCAAAAACAATTACAGACATCCAAAACCTCAGGAATTCAGAAATTCCACATAGTTCAAAAAATATTTTTTTTTTGAAAAAAAAGTTTCCGTTTCGAAAATTTCAGAATTTTGAGTTTCTAATTTTTTTATATTCCTCTTCCTTTTACCTCTCCACCAAATCCATGTTCCTTGAAAAGATGGTGAATCTCTTCACAATTTCCTCTTCACTCTTGTATTCTCTCAAATATTTGACAAGAAAATTCTGGAATGCTTCCGTATACTTCACATCTGGTGTTGGAATCTGATGACGTTGCAGAATCAGTTCCAAATTTTCAATTCTGAATGTTGGAAGTGGCTGCAATCATTTAATTAGGGAGTTAATTACCCTATGTGCCTAATTAACTCACCTCCGAAATAACGAGCCCCACAAAGAAGACGGCCAATAGCGAACCTGATTTTTTCAACATTTTTCTGGCGGAAAAATGTTCAAAATGAAAAAAAGTCTCGAAATATGTTTTATCAGTTCTGATAACAATTTTTGACACTGATCCTTCTTATTTTTGTGACTGATTATAGAAAGTGAGCAGCTTAATTTTTTTGGTTTCAATCTGAATCGAATTTTCGCATTTTTTCAATTTTGCTTTGTGCTTTTTTGACCGAAAATCGAAGAATTTCAAAAATATTACTGCGATATTCTCTCTCGACTCGCTGAAAACTTCAAAATGAGCCTAAACACGACTAGGTTCCGTTCATTTTGATTTTTAGACGCGTCGCGGTCGTGCGTCGCGTTTTTGGGTGAAGTTTCAAAATGGGCGGAGCTTGGTCGAGTTTGAGCTTGTTTTAAAGCTTGTAACGTTCCAAATTCGAATTTTGTGGTCTTGGCAGTGGACGGGGCTTAGAATTCTTCATTTTCCCCCTCATTGCTCATCCTTAATTACCTAAAAAATCTGTAACTTTTCCACTAAATTTCCCTCGATCAATGTTTTATACCGGAATATTCCATTTTCAATGAAACATGTGAAACGGGAAATTTTTGTTTTAGACCGTAAACGAGTTTTCAGATTTCCAAGTTTTCAGATTTTTAGAATTTCAGAATTTCAGAACTTCCGGTTTTCACTGATTATCCAACTATCAACAAAAGAAAGCATAATTAACAAGATATTCAGTTTTATTTCAGATGACACAAAGACTAGAAGAACAAAAAAATCGTTTTCAAAAATTACTTAAAAATGAAATTTTAAAAAAAAATTAACACAAAGTTCTTCTAGTCTGAAATAAAACTGAATTTTCAAAAAATTATCACTCCTCTTTCTTATCAGCGAGAGCAGTGATAGTCTGACAACGGGCGGATTCACGGTTACGGACCTGCTTGGTGAGAAGGTTCTGGAAAATTTATTTCTGAAAAATAAAAACAATAAAAACATTTTTTCGGCTCAATTTAAACCCTGAATTGTTTAAGAATTCATTCTAGACAATTGAAACTTTGCTGAAACCGCTGAAAACTGTCTTGGCGCCATGTAAATTCCACCAAACCACCAGGCTTTCAATTCGACTTACACTCAAATCCATCAAATTTCCACCATCTTGTTGTTGAATGCGTTGCTTCTCAATTGTTTGGAGTGTAGCGCTGACGTTCTCAATACGATCCACAATGCTGAACACCGACTCTTGCATTTGGTCGACACGACGGTTCAAGCTGTAATTGATTTTTTTTTATCGATTTTATTTGGAAAATCAGTTATCTCAGTTCCCATTAGAGATATCAAAAAGTTGTCAACTGACAAAACTCTTATCATAATATCAGTAACATTTGTATAGTTTACAAAGTTGACAAAGATAATTGAGCTTCAAAGTTATTGATTAAAACCTAGTGTAAAACAATGAAAAGTTGACAGATTTTTTTCTGTTCCAGTTAATTGTGAATTAAAATTTTTCAATCGCGCCAAATGATATCATGCCGGGGTCCTCACTACAACTTATCATTTTAAAACGTAAAAGTCTATATCGATTAGCACTAAATTGAACTCTTTCTAAAAGTTACCAATTTGAAATTGTAATTCAAAAAAAAAACAATTTCAAACCCTTTCAAAAACGACTTCCCTTGATAGATTCAATTTTAGGATTTTCTCGACCCTGTTGAGTTGAATCAAACTCTTCAAAATTTATCATCTTGATGAAACGGTAACATTGCAAATGCAAAATTTTCAATTAACACTTAACTATCGTGAAACTTGTGTTCTTCGAAACTTGAACCAATTTATCTCCATTTCTGCAAGAGCTTTGAAAAGTTGTCAATTAATAAAACGTTTACCATAATATCAGCAACATTTCATTAGGTAACTGATTTTTGCCATCTCTTACCGGAGCCGAGATAAATTGGCTCACAGTTAGCTTCCATGAGTGACCCGCGTACTGCGTTAACTATAAAAATTTTTAAGTTACAATAAGTGGGTATTATATTGTTTGCAAGTCGGTTATGAATATAACTATAACCAATTAGTTCAAATCCGTTAAAAGGTATCATCTTGTTGAAACCGTAACTTTGAAAATGCAAAACTTTTGACTCCTTAGGCATCGACCTAATTTATCTTAGTTCTTATCAAAGGTATCGAAAAGTAATCTATTGATAAAATGTAGCTGATGTTATGATAAACATTTTTCTAAATGACCACTTTTTGATAGCCTTCACAGAAAGATAGATAAAGTGGGTCAAATTTTGGATTAATTTTTTATGTGTTGTCATTGCCTAGAAAGTTCACTGTTGATTTTGCTGTTTCAATTAGTGGGTATTATCAGTGTTTTGTTGCATTTTTCAATGCTTCAGTTTTTGTGGAATTGGCTCACTTTGCATAATCCCGATGATTCTCCATATAATGTCTCTTCTGTTCAGTGGTTCTTGCCACCTCATCAGCAATATCCTCAGCCATTTTCTCTGGAATATGCTCGGTCATAGTGGTCACATTGAATCGAGTGAACGCTTCATTGATATCCTTCTCCGCGTAGCCGGCACGATACAACATGATCTTGTAATCCTCATAAGTTGCATCCTCTGATGGTCCATCTGGACGTTTGCCTCGTTTTGTTAGACCGCGAACTATCTGAAACTTTGGGGTCAATTATCTTGGCTCCCATGAACGATATCAGAATTTTGTCAACTGATAACATGTTTATCAAATCATCAGCAACATTTATATGTCCTTACAGAAACTCACATTCATGAACCAATCCAGAATTCCTTCTCCATCCTTCTTCCTTGCTAATTCTGCCTTCACTTCCACATAGGAGTCATTGATGATAGCCAGGAACATGTTGAGCAGAATGAAGGAAACAAAGAAGACGTAGGCAATGAAGAAGGCGGGTCCAAAGAATCTGTTGCAGTTTTCTAGGGCCGAGAAGTTGAAGTCTCCGAGGATAAGACGGAGGAGAGCAAAGGCTGAGTTGTAGAGGTTGGAGTAGTCGGCGATCTGGAAGATTTGGAGTTCTTGGGTCTGCGTGCCTTTAAAGTTATGCGCCTTTAAAGGAGGCGAGACAGCAAAAATTTCGGGAGACAGTTTGGGGGACGAAATCGCGCCGCGCTTATGTAGACCATCGGTCGTCAGGTGCCTTCACGCCCCCGTAGCTCAGCCGGTAGCGGCGCTGTACCCCTGAGCTGCCTGTCATGAGTTCAACCCTTCATGGGGGTTCTCTATGCAAAATATCAGGAAAACTTTTTTTTGGTGTCTGGCCTCCTTTAAAGTGCAATAAATAAATTACTGTTACATCTAATTATGTAAAGACTTGTTCCAATTTTGTATATGTTCCAACGTGATTTCCGGTTACAAACGTTCCAAAAATTATATGCGCTTTTAATTCTCTGCTCCACTGTAATAATGTGTCTTTAGACATGCTTTCAAGGTCTTGCGCCTTCAAAATTAGTCGTCTTTCAAGTTATGCCCCTTTAAGGTTAAAGGCCTTTCATATTCTGCACCATTCAAAAAAATATAAATAAGTTACTGTTGCGTCTAATTATAATAAGATCGATTCAAACTTAAGAGTTGTTTATCGACATTATTGAAAACACGCAAAAAAAACACGCAAAAAACCCCCATGCGCCTTTAAAGATTGCTCTAACCAACCTGAGTACCAAAGCACAAGTATCCAAATTGTGCGAAAGCGAAGAAAAACACGGCGAACATCACAGCGAATCCTCCAATATCCTTAGCAGATCGTGTCAACGTGGAAGACAATTGACTCATCGTTTTGTTCACAGAAATGAATTTGAAAACTTTGACCCATGCGATGAACACAACGACAGCCTTGATATTCAAATACGCGTTTTCAGCAGAAGTGACGTCATCGAACGGAGCATTTGTTAGGCCGTTTTCAATCACAGAGTTGACTCGATTAGTGGCGGTTTTTGTTCGCTTCATTGATAAGATAATTGTTGCAACTGAGAATCCTAGCAAAGCCACGTCGACCAGATTCCAAAACTGTGTTAGATAGTGAAGACGGTGACGGGCGATGGCGAAAAGCTCTTCGAAGATGAAGAATAGTACGAAGCCACAGAAGATTCCTTCGAAGACAATCATACGGGTTCCAGCGGAGGATTGATAGGTCATTAGGTTGTATGTCATAATTTTGGGGGTTGTGATGACGCCACCAGATGCGGGAAGCTCGAAAAGGAGTCTGGAAGTGTTAAAATACGAAAATGTTCCATTTTTCAGTTTAGGAGGTCTTCGAGCCACTTTTGAATATTGAAGGTTTTGCACCGGTGAGCTACGCGGTCGCAACCGGTGCTACTTCGAGCTTAATTATCTCGTTTTAAGAAGAGATATCAAAAATATGTCTACTACGAAACTGATAAGCAAAAAAATAATTCGCATAAAATTTACTACATTTTATCAGTCGACAAAAATTTTAATATTTCTGTTAGTCATACTTTTCACTGTTACAAGAAGTTTACATTAGCTCCTATTTTCAATTGTTATTACATCGCAACGCCATTGATTTTCTCTTTTTTACCTGAATTATCTCAAATGCTAAAAATCATGTAAAACAATGTGAACTAAAAATGTTCCTCAAAACATCACCAACATTTTATCAGTTTACAACTTTTTGATATTTCTCATAGGAATTGAGGTAAATGAGCTCAAGCAGAGCTCACAACTAAACTCACTATCAGGCTCACATCATTCTCCCACCGCTTTAACTCACTTTATAACACAAAACAAGTTGATATTTGCATTATACAACGCAAAATCCACCACAATCGCTCTGGTCCCTCTATCAATCCATCGTTTCGACTTCAATGTGGCAATTGCTGACTCAGCTTCAGTGGACCCAGAAACCGGCAGTTTTTGCACAAAACCACCACCACCATAAGTGGAAATAGTTCCCACGGTGTCGTAGTTCTCCAGCTCCTTAGCAGTAGCATAAAGGAATCTGTAGGGTTACTGTACCTCTACTAGGGTCACTGTAACAACTTACGCATCCACACTCCCATCAGCCACCATCTCTCGATCCTCGAATTTCTCCTCGTAGTTCGCAAAGCACTCTTTTATTTCTCTCTGGAAACTCTTCATGACCGTACATGAGTCATTGGTGACTTTGAGCATTCGGATTCGGGGTTCCCCTAGGATTCGATTCTCGTAGTAGATCATGTTCTCGTTGTCCGTGGAATTAGAGGTTTCAGTCCAGTAGATTCCGGGGACGAGGACTTGGGAGAACCACTGGAAGATTTTTTTAGGTTTTGATCTTCGGCGGATCACTTACATCCCAAATATTATCCATGGAAGTGCAGGAGCCGAAAGCTGGAGCGCCGTTGGCGCCAGACGCGGAGACAAATAGATCGGACATGACCTTGGTGTAGTAATAGGATTGAATGCTGTTTTGAGCAAAGGCCACTGAAAGAAATAAACTTGCTGACCGGTACTGTACATTAAAGTGGTACGGTAGCTAGAATGTGTAAACAGCGCCAGGCAAAAATGCACACCACCAAACTATGCACTTCAATATTCACATTACTGTTTCAAACAAAGCATATTCGAGACCGCCGAAAGTTTTTAACTGATTGGACTTTTGTTTCACTTATTTAAATGAACTTGAATGTAAACCTGAAAATCTAGTTGTCGCAGTTCAAACGAAAGTCTTATGGTGTAGTCCTCTCGGACAAAGAACTCTGCATTTCTTTCCCTAGCGTTCTTTTACAATTATACTTAGGTTATTTCTTACTGTATCAAATTGCTCATATTCTCCAATTCGAACAAATGATTATGTGAATTAGATGACATACTACGAAGAATTGGTAAGTAGGCAATCGCGCCCCATAGCTAGAATGATATGCGTAAACACTACATACACCGTCACGCGAAAATGCACACTAACAAACGATACACTTCAAAATTGACATTTCTGTTTCAAACATACTGTATTTCGGACCTCAGAAAGTTTTGAACTAATATTCTCTTTACTCCGTCTACCGTTTTTTTGACATTCGATGTAAACGCGCTCTGCTGTTTCAAAATTTCCATATTTTCTAATGACAATTTTTTGAACAATCTTCTGTGCGACCACGAATCTTTTTTTTTAAACCACGAATCTTTGAAAAGTTTGCAAACGCGCTCTAGCGCACCACCAAACAAAACTTTCAAAAAACTAACCATAAACCAAAACAATCAAAAACACGGCATACGATCCGACCTCCATGAACGAGCTAGCCGTCAGCTTGATCTTTCCATCCGATTTCTCGTGTCCAGATGCCAGAAGTGCTTGTGTGAATGAGACACCTTGTTTTGGTGCCGGATTCTTCTTCTTATCGTGTTCATACTCCTCGCTGACCATTGAATGATCGAATGCGGCCGGCGCGTGCTCGGCCGCGGCCACCGGTTGCGGTGGATTTGCCCAGCGATCGCCGGCAGCGTCGTAGTTCATAGCGTTAGTCAAGTTGAAGGGGACCTGGATGAATTTTACTGTTTCGAAAATATTGTTTAGTTTTTTCATTTGTGTTTACAGTGTTAACATTTGAAAAAAGTAAGAGGACATTTAAATTTACCGACACATGAGAGCTCAAATATCTTAATTCCTAGAAGAGATATAAAAATTCTATCGACTACAAAAATATAGGAAATTTTGAGTTAAACATTTTATAAGTTGACAAATATTTGATATCTCTCATGGCAATTGAGATAATTGAGCTCAAAAAGGAAGCGTTTTTAGATAATTCAGGCTAATTTTTACAGTTTCTACAACTTGGTTTAGTTTGGCTATAAGCTAGAAGAATAATTTGAATAAGAGTTCAAGTTAATTAGTTTAATCAAACCGAATCATTATAAATAACTTAATTTCAAGGCCTGTATATGAACATTCACTTCAAAAAATCTGAAAAAAAGTAGCATGACTAAAACAGAGAAAAAATATTTTGAAGTTGGTGGATTTGGCCGACTCGTCCAAATCCACGTCCTCGTATCCAGGCAGTGCCTGGATACCCGACGGGCTGCTAGGATACCTTTTTTTGGTTTTTTCTTTTTTTTTTAATTTGTTGGATCAATTCAATTTCAGCTCTCAAAATTTCAAATAATCAGGAAAGAATCGTTAAAAATCATATAATTGAGGTACCCCGTAGCTTAGCTGGGTACGGTATCCACACGAAAAAATGATTGCGGACAGGAAAAAAGTTTGGACTGAAAAAAATTAATCACATTTCAGAAAAATCATAAAAGTTGAGAAGTTAAAAATTCCATTATTTACCTGAATTATAAAATAGTTAAAAGCAAACAACTTTGAATCCTGGAGAAAGCCCGAAAAGTTTTGTTTTTGAATTCCCGCCAAATTTTCGAAATCCTAGGCCACCGGTTTTAAGGTTAAGCAACTTTTGTAGCTAGCTTTCAAAATCAATTTATTGGTATTTTCCAAATCATCAGTTATTTTTGAAACCTTCTAGAAACTGTAATTTTTAACGGAATATTAAAATTTCAATTTGGAGTTTCTGGCTCTTTTTAAAGTTAAACTTTTCGATTGTTAATTTTTTCATAATTACCCCCAAAAAGCAATTATTTTCTGTTTCAGTGTGTTCCAATTAGAAACATGGAACTGACACAAAACAATAATTAAAATTTAGAAATTTAGAAAACAAAAATAAGAAAGAGGAAGATTGGGATCTGACTAAAAACAGGGAAAAAATATAATTTTGATGTTGTCCGATTCGGCCGGCTCGGCAAATCCACGT